TCTGTTCGTTGGAGCTGTTGGAGTGCACATTTAGAGTCGGTTAAAATTACAGCCTTAGTGGGCAACGTAATGTTCTTGATAGACTCCAGTGCTCCCCAAATTGCCACCAGCTCTGCCGTTGTTAATGATGTCACAAAGTTGAGTCGTCCAGCAACATCAAAGTCCGTTTCTGGAATTGTGATTGCAACTGTTGCTGTCTTCTTGGCCTTGCTGATGGATGCGTCTGTATATACCTGAAGCCAGTCCTTGTAGTCGTCATCTAGGCGTTCTAGAGCAGCTGACTTTGCAACAGTTGTCAGTACATTTGCTTTTCGCTGCGGAAGAGGTAGACTTTCGCATATCACCAGTGGTGGACGTGTCGAATGCGGAGGCAAAGAAGGAAGGAACTCTCCAGGTCCTCCAATCTGTCGATCGAATTGCACTATCAAATGCCCCAGGTGAGAGTTTCGTCTAGCCCGAAGGTGAGATCGGATGCTAGACTCATATGGTACAGCACTCATGCGACTAATGTTGCGCATGGCTCTCTCCTCCAGTCTTAGGGAAAGCGGCCATTTCTCGGAAGACACAAGTGTCGCAATATTTTCCGCCGAAGGGGGGAGCCCCAAGCAGCTGCGAAGAGCAATTCGGTGGAATGTGTCGAGTTCTCTAATTTGGGCTCTTCCGATGGCTAAAAGAGGGAGCGAGTACAGGAGCCTGGACATTATGAGACCCTTATAAAGTTGGAGAAGAGCGCGTTGTGGAGCGCCCCAAGAGCATCCTCCAAGTTGTCGTATGACTCGCAAGAGCCGTCGGCACCGACCCAGTGTCCTACGAACTTCTGGCCTCCAAGTCACACGGTCATCCAAGACAACTCCGAGATAGGTGTGCTGTCTAACCCTTCTGAGTGGCATCCCAGCAAGTTTCAGCTGCAGTGCGTTTTGTGGTGCTCGACCTGCAGGCCGGTATAGAAGTGAAGCTGTTTTTTCAGCTGAGAGGGTAAGGCCCAATCTCGATATCATTAGCGCCGTGGCATCAACGGCCACTTGAAGGCGATTGCGAATTGCGATCGCGTTTTTCGAGGGTTCGACGCACCAAATTGCAACATCATCCGCGTATATGGCCATTCTTGTACGAAGATTGGAGTGTCCTGTTGGTAAGCAACCAGGGAGGGTAGCCATCGCTATGTTGAAAAGCATGGGGCTCAACACGCTGCCTTGAGGAACTGCTCGGTCTGTTGGACGTGGTGAGCTGACAGCTTCAGGCACTTTGACGCGGGTGGTTCGTCCAGAAAGGAACGCCTTGATAAAGGAAAGAATCCGTCCACCAATTCCGAGTTGCTTCAGCCGGTGGATGATGGTGAAGTGAGGGAGAGTGTCAAATGCACGACTGATGTCTAAAAACACACAGTGTACCATCTTCCCTGTTGCTTTTGCCTCCTCGAGGGTTGACGCAATATCTCCAATGGCATCGCCGGTGCACCTTTTTGCTCGAAAGCCTGCTAGTTCTGGTGGAAACACTTTCATCCTATCCAATAACCAGGTGAGACGGCGAAGGACCATCCGTTCAAGTAGTTTGCCTACACAACTTGTAAGTGACACTGGTCTGTAAGACGACGGCAGCGCGGCAGGTTTTCCTTGTTTGAGTATTGGGACGATAGTTGACTCCTTCCATGCGTCAGGAATGATGCCAGTTGTCCATACGAGGTTCAGTTTTTCAAGAACATCAAGGTGGTAGGCAGGACCGACGTTTCGGAGCGCTTGGTAGGTTATACCATCCGGTCCTGGAGCACTCTTTTTGTTACACTTGTGAAGGGCTTCAGTGAGCTCCGCCATGAGTGAAATCGGATTGGCTCGCCAACATTGCCTCGTTATTTTGATCTTCGGTGAGTGGAACTGGAGGTAGTCGTCCTAACTGTTCCCGGTACTGTAACGGAGTGGATGACTGCCGCGAAAATTCGTCCGCTAATACCTTCGCCACCACTGTCATGGGCCAACCGGACTCGATTGCAAGAGCTGCAATAGGATGACGCGGAATTTTCGCGCCGGCGAGGGCTCGAGCGAGTCTCCAAGCACGTCTACCACCACCAGCACCGCCGAGCGATGCGCATCCGCGTCTCCATTGCCATCTTTGAAGTTTTTTTCGTATGTCGTCTAAATTTAGCGTCGATCCGGTTGTAGCGCGTCCAGTCCCATAAGGCGTCCGTGCTAAGTGCTCTTCGCTGTGCCTGTCTTCGGGCTGTACGGAGATTTAGCCATTCCAAGTCAGGTGCAGGGCATGTAACGGGCACCGTGACGGAGCGCGTGGCAAGTCGCAGGCACTCCGCAATACAAGATGTTAGATCTTCATAGTTGCCACTCTCAATGCCGGTAGCAACATACTGACGAAATAAATCCCAGTTCGTCACCTTACAGGTTTTCACTTTTTTGGGGCTTGTAGTTGGATGTGTCACTCTGATAGGCACGTGGTCACTTCCCTCTGTGTCGGGTCGAGCCGTCCATAACCCAAATATTTCGGAGGACACCAAAGTCAGGTCGATAGTAGTGGGGCTGAGCCCCTTCCTACGAAATGTGGAGGACCCATCGTTTAGAGCTCGAAGTTGAATCTCTGCCATGGTGGCCTCTAGCTGTCGTTTTCTGGCGTCCGTTCGTCTACCACCCCAAGCCTCGTTGTGAGCATTAAAATCTCCGCAGATGATAAGCTGACCGCGGCTTCTCTTTTTAATCTCTTCCAGCACTTTTGTGTTCCAGACACCGTGTGGCGTGATGTAAGCTGAAACAATCGTTGTTTCGCATCCTTTTATTCTAACAATTACGCCGGAGTACTCCTCCATGGCCGAATTCAAGTCTGAAAGGTCTATGGGGTTATGATATACATCGTCACGTACAAGTATCGCCACTCGTGACCTATCATTTGGATTTATGGGGGCACTGTGGTAGAACATGCATATGGAGAAAGGCGCTCTTCTCCAGGTACGATATTCGTTTCTTGAAGAGCCAGGACATCAGCACGCTCAGTTTTCAAAGATTCGCGCATCCCTGGTAGGCGCGTGCGCAGCCCATTTACGTTCCATTGAAGAATGGAATGAAACACTGGACTGCGCCTTTGTTGACGAGTGCTATTCTTTTGGCGAGATATTGGAGCTCTTTGTTTGTTCAAGGTCTTCTGCCCACGGTGTCGCGCATTTGCGTTACCATGGTCCCCCTAGCATGCCACCAGAAGGGGAAGCATTCCCTGCAAAATTGTAGCAATTGCCCGGGCCCACGAGGCTTCAAATTTAGACAATATGGCCAGGGATATGTTTGCAACTGTCTTGATAATGGAGACCCAGGCGGGTGTTGTTGCGATGGGTAAGCCTGAAGTCTCGTTGCTTTCTTTCCTTTCAGTGCTTTGTTTTGTTGCCTGACGCCTTGGAAGCGCCTGCGAGGAAGGTTGCTGCGTGGACGACGTTGGCCTTTCATCACTTGGGACATCATTCGGTGGTACTTGGTTGATAACGATGTTTTTCTGACAGTCCTCAGCGACGACAGAAGCGTAGCTTTTGGCACCTAGCTGCATTAGAGATCGTTGGCTCTGACTCGTCTTGGATTATGATCTCAGCGGTGCCAGTTTTTTGTCTCTTTTGGGGATCTAAGGCTGACTTCGCTTCGCGGAATCCCACTGAATTCTTCTTGGAGTACACTATAATGTCACGCTCTTTAATCCATTTTGGACAGTCATGTGATGTGGCTTGGTGCTTTCCACTGCAGTTGGCGCATTTCACTGTCGTGGACTGACATTCAGCACCTGTACCGTCATGGTGCTGCCCACAACGGCAGCAGGCCTTCGGGCGTTGGCAGGCGATTTTCTTATGGCCAAATCCGTTACAATTGTGGCATTGTAACGGTCTGTCTGTGAACGGCGAGACTGGACAACGAACGTACCCTAGAAGCACGTAGCTTGGCAGCTTAGTGCTGGTGAAGGCGACCTTCACGACGCGGGAGCGTCCAAGTCTCCGAACGTTGGCAATCTTGCAGCATGTGTCTTCAGCGAAGATTGCGCGCAATCTCGTCTTCTGTGATTTCAGCGTCGACGCCTTGGATGACACCATACGAAATGGGCCCTAACAGTGGGGAGTAGGCTCTTACTGGAACACCGCAGAGCATTGCAGTGTTCAGTAGAGTTTTCGCTGCCTGCCCGTTGCGAACATCAACAGCGATCAGGTTCAGCCGATCGTTAGGGCGCACTTGGATGATGCACTCTTGGCAGAGCTTCTCAAGGGCTTCGGAAATTTTCAGGCTGTTGAGCGCTGTAAGTCTGGTCTCCTCTTTCACAGGAACGAAGATGACGGTGAGGCTGGTGTTATCATGCTTCTTTGGTTGTTGCGGAACGTCTGGAGACGAGTCGCTGTTCTTTGGACGACAGCGCTTTCTGCCGGATCTGCGCCATTCGCCCCCGGAATCTTCGCTCTCCATGTTGGCGGTCTCTGAGCAGACAGATCGACTGTAGTCCTGGGGTGCTATCTTGCGCTTTTTGCACTCCCAGGAGACTTGGAAGAGGGAAGTGACGTCAACGACACAGCAAATGCAGATTGGATGTTGACAGAAGAAAACGAAATCAACACCCAATCTGCGTTTGCTGTGTCGTTGACGTCACTTCCCTCTCCCCAGTCTCCTGGGAGTGCAAAAATCGCAACATAGCACCCCTGGGATTCATCGAGTGCGCTGCTGGCCTGGTGTTGTGCTGCCGTGATGGATATGTCGTTTTCAGAAAGAGACATACCAGCATGCATCCCTTCTCTTGCTGTGCAGGGAGCTGCCCTAGCTCCTGCCGGCCGAGTGGACCCCAAAGTCCAAGGGACCGACGAAGTCGCGTAGAATAGAAAATTCCAGAGAAAGAAGCTTTTGCGTTCCGGCTCAGATCACTTCGTCGTCTTTCCTCCTCGACCGCAGGGTCAAGGGAGGATTACTAAAATATTTCACTAGGTGGCGCAAGCTACCGTCTACTAAAAAAAAGAGCACAGCACCGTAGCCACACGATCTTTTAGCCATCCATCCACCGAAAGACGACATGGCTATGGTGTACTAGAATAACATGGCGCGAAACGTTTACGTGCGTGTGATTCGCAGCGTGCTGTGAACCATAGAACATTTACAAATTGACGCGTGTCATATAGAGCACCATCGTAAGGTGGATCATCTTCAACATGGTTAGTGTTCATTTGGCACGATATCCGTCGTTCTGCGAGTGTCTGGGTGCTGTCTGACCGTCTGACGTTGCCGACAAAGCTCGCGTCATGTAGACATGTTGCCACGATGACCTTGTTCGAGACGGGGTTTGCGAAGTAAATAGACGGTGAATTTGAAGGCTCAGATGTTGCGCCATATCGCTAAAGGGAGAAAACGGTTGATCCTTTACGGGTCCGAGAGCCTCCGCACGATATTGCTTTCAGACTGTGATCAGTGATGGTTCGTTGATGGAATGTATTTCTAGAACAAAAAGGAAGTGCGCAAGCGAGCTGGTCTAAATTGAGCATAATTTCGAAAAACATCGAGACTATGGTGAAATAAAGGACAAGGCAGACATTGAGACTTTGTGTTTGTCCTGTCCCTTATTTTACCCTAGTCTCGCTTTCGTAATGTTCTTCCCGTATTTTTACTTCCTTCGCGCATTTGGGTCTATGAACCTCTTTTAACCAGAAACTATCTTATCGAAAATTTAGCATCGAGTTGACTGACACAGCAAGTTGTCAACACAAGAGCAAGAGGAGCTCCTCATAAAAGTTATTTGCTCTTCACTTGCCTCCTCTCCAGCATTCATTCTGCTCTACAGGAAAGAGTAAAGGGCTTTGTTGGAGGAGCTTATGCTGCTATTTTCGCAAGTAATTTGTTTTTGGAACCGCATGCTTTTTGTATTGATTTCTTTTTCTCATTAGGCTTCCACCCCATAAATCGAGTTAGGCGCTCTAGTTTTTAAACGTTACTGAGACAACTCGGTTGGGAAACTGCCGTAGAGCCTGCTTTGAAAAAGTGGCTTCGTTCCATACTCGAGAAGCAAACTAAAGTAAAGCCCCTTTATGTTTTAAAAGTAGCGCAAGGTGCATCAATGCAAGAGGCTGGTGCAGCGTGCAGCCCTTGGGAAGATTGTGCCAGCACAGCGCAGCATTGAGCTAGATTTCAGACGGCATGTTCTTCCCAGAAGTGGCGTGCAGCACGTGTCTAGAGCATATACACATCAGTGAATGGTGCCACCTTTCCCAGGATAGAGGGGCTTTAAACTAAAGGCTATCGCAGCGCTGCCATTTCTCCCGCAGTGACCACTCCTAAGAACTGCACGTCTGCATGTATCGGTTCAGGTCGAGTTGCGCAATGGCCGGTGGCACCATCTCGCAGTGCCATTTTGCAGTAGCAATAAATATGAACGTTCATAATGTGACTCGTCGCTAAAGGGTGGTGCTGTTATTGTATTTAGTTTCTCGGTAGATGCGAGTGGTCCGAGTTTCAAGGGTGAGTTTCCCAACTGAGTGTTTTAGTAACATAGGTTTTCAGTTTGTTTTGCACACATTTGCAAGTATGGCCTCAGGGCACTGCCATCTTGCTCAGTTGAGGTGTGCTTGGGCACGTCATAATCCAATTACAACGCCTTGCTGAGTCGTGCACCCAAGCGCACCCCAACTGAGCAAGATGGTGGCCATACTTGCAAATGTGCATAGACCCTTTAAATGAAAGAGCACCATCTGCCGCCATCTTGAAGGACACAGCTTTGCTTGTGCCAATCTGGAAACGTTTCAATGTTGTGATACAATCACAGTATGTTTGCGTCTTGTGTAAAGTCAGACGGAAAGTGGTGTGGTTGCCCGAATTAGAGAAGAAACTGTTTTTGTCTCGTTCCGCAGTGATGTCCAGATCAAAAGTCGGCCCCGATGGGGGGTGGCGACTGGCCATTTGACGTGGCCAGGTCCTTTTGACATGGAGATAATTGAGCCTGATACTCTAACATAGTGCATTGTTATTCATGGAAAGTGTACAGCTGTCGATTTCAAATATGGCTATTTGTGTGGGAAGTTGCATTCATAGATGCGGAAGATTGGTAAAATTACGGACTCGCATGCTTGTCTGGCAGGTTTAGACTGCTGAATAATTACAGTATTCAGACCGTTAAAGGGCAGCTCTGCTTCATCTTCGTGTTTGAAAAAGCAATGGAATCCTCTTCAGTATCACCTAGAAAGATCACATGTCAGATATTACGACATAGTTCTGTCTGAATGTTTCTTAAACGGTCCGGCAGACTTTGCAACTCACCAAGTTGCCGAAATTGGCTGACTCGAGCGGGCGAATTGAGGCGCTGTCAAGGCTACGGCCTTTGCGTAGCCAGCATTGAGCTAAGCGTCATCAGCATTGCCCCCTTTTGTTTGTTTTTACTTCTATGGGCAAGCACAATGCGAGACGTCAGCAACGTATCTTCTCGGCGCTCAGCGGTGTCCACGTGATTGGCGTAACGTGCCTGCGCAGCGCGCTTCTTGGGAGCTGTCCTGCCGTAGTCCCGCCATTACTGCCGTCTCCAGCGTCACAATTGCCATCATCATATCGCCGTTTAGGATTATTGTCTTTCGGAGTTTTGTTCACACTACAGACACTATGTGCGCACACTTATGCCGCATTTGTTTTGACGTCGTCGAATGTCGTAGACACCAAAATGTGGTGAAGAGTGCGGTGCAGACGACACTTGCGCCTGGCACACGCCCGTCCCAATCCCGCCCATCGTTGCGTAGAGAGGCACGTGACATCTCGTACCATGTGAAAGCCATGTTCTCGGCGGCCCAAGGCCGATGTTGCCAGACAGGGCTGGAGTTTCGGTTTCGATTTCTGTTCGTGTTTAAAATCAGATTTAATAATATATATCCCATTTTTTGGGAAGCAAATGACGTAGTGTCTTTTACTAGGGCTTTTTAATGCAAAATTACTCATTATCCCGAAATCTTTGAAATTGAATGGAGTTGCCCGTTAAGTATGATTTAAAGTGACAATATCACAATATATTTGTAGCTAATTCGTGTAACAACTGTTTTCCATGAAATGTTAGCAGTTATGCTCGACGAAGCTTGGGAAAATTATTCGGCTGTGAGTACGACTTGTCTAACAATATATTGAAATAAATTTTGTGCAACGGAGTATAAAGTGGTACTTTATTTGTGCGTGTGCAAATGTTAGAATCTCTGGCAGAAATTTAAACATGCCCAGTGAGAATCACGATATAATCAAATTCGGCTTTCACATAGCCAGTCTACACAGATGATGCGCTAGCACCATCCAAGCAAACGGCTGGTGAGTTTGGCAGTCAGAGGACTTTCGAGTGTGGCAACTAGCAGTCGGTGGGCCTGCAGTCATCGGATTGCCAACAACTGTGCACTGCGTGCTGCATTGGCCAGTGAAGTGATTGCGGCCATCTGCGCCAAAGCTCTTACCGTGCAACTTGCTACATCCTCCTACATTTTGCTGAAATGTGAGAAATTTGTACAAACATTGCACCAAAACTTATTTTCACTTTTAATAATACTGAATATATAATAAATCAGGGCCCACTAAATGGCCGGATCGTTACGGTAAGTTTTTGCAAATTTCCAAAACTTTTGATTATCTTTTCAAATGACATCATATGTGATTTGATCTCTATCAAACCTTGACAGTAGTCGGAGGTTTCGCAATATTCCTCATGCTGGTCGTCTGTTCTGGCTGGATAGCTAGCATCGTTAAGTGCACTTGTCACCATGCAGTGGTGTACTGCAGTAAAGCGACAACTGCGTAGTGGTCGTCGCAGTTTTGCATATTTTCCACCTCCGCAGCGCACCCGCGTGCTAAGGTGAAAGCGGTCCTCCAGAGCGGGATATTACTCACGGTTTCTAAATATTTTAATTCAAACAGATTTCTTTTTTTTTTAAGGGGGTCAATTAGACGAGTGTAGTCTTCACCGTCTATTTATGAGGCTCGGCGGGCATTAGACGAGGAGATAATCGTTATGCTGAGTTAACTAATAAACTCAAATTTGTTAATTAACTTTTCAAATACTGGTTTTCGGAGTCATGTTGGAATTACAATATTCAAGGCAGTAGCTATAGATGCCAGACCAATTTAAGAATTTGTGTAAAGGTAATGGTTTCTCAGATAATCATTGACCGAATTTCGCACCCTTTCGCCAGATTTAAAAATTGTGCTCCAAAAGAGTGCATCAAGCGCTGCCCAGAATGGTGCTTGGAAGAGTGACGTAGTCGTTTTAATCATGTCGTCACGTGTCTTTGGCGCACCCACCAAGGACATACTGCCGAGATAGTGACGACATGATTGAATCAACAATGTCATTTTTTTTAACGTCTTTGTGGGCAGGGCTTGCAACACTCTTTTTGAGTGCAAATTTCAAATAGGGTGAAAAGACACAAAATATTAGTAAATTAATATTAAAAAAAAAAAAAAAAACTTTGCCTTTCTCGCAAATTCTTTAAATTGGCCTGTCCTCTAATCAAACATCCTGTATATTAGACTGCAATATTCTGTCAATATCTGTTTCATATCCTAGATTCATCAAGGATACTCAAGTATTGCGAGAAAACGTTTTACACACTGCTCTTTATACCGTATTTACTCCAGTAATAGCCGCACTGTTTATGAAGAAAACTTGAGGGTTCGGTTTTTCGTGGAGCACGCTGATTGCCAATCACCGTGATCGACAACATGACTCCAGTGGTTTACAGGACAGAGATAACGTCTGTGCGCAAAGATACCATCTGTAAAGGTTGCATTTGCATGGAGAATCGTGTTTTCAATCTAATTGTTCCTTATGTTTTTTATGCGCAACGCGATGATTGGCTGTATATGTGCTTTGCGGGAAAGTAGAAGCAAGGGCCTTGTTCATAAATTGTGCGGTTAGTACTCGAGTAAATACGGTATTTACTTTTTATGTCGCTCATCTACAGCTGGGAGACTCGTCGCCCCTGTGAGGCAGACCAAGTTCTAGGCTGTATAAACATACCACACAACCCAATTTTTGTCAACTCTCGTTTAGTTATTTCCTTTATATAGGTTTCATTTGTTCGTTGTCACGGTAAATACGGTAAATTAGAACTGAATCAGCTGGAACAGTAAATGCAAGCCTGGGAATAACCTGAATGAGTTTGACGTGATTGTTTTTTAAGCTGATTTCTGTTGTCGTAAAGTTTTGTCTATAAAATGTCAATGATGTCCATAACCAAATGACAAAAGCTTTGTTTTCTATCGAAATTAAGAACTGCAATTTTATTACTACTTTAGAACTTAACGAAAACATCAATTAGTGTGCTCAAAATTATTATATTTGAACACTATATCGTTTGAATATACTATTTGGTTTATGTTGATTTCATGCCTAAAATCACCTTGCACAGTAGTTTGTACTGCCCTTCATAAATCAGTGTCTTGTTACTGTGCCTTGTGTTTCTACATGCGATTAAGCTTCTCTTAGTTAGGAAATAAACCTGCCATGCTGTTAATGCCATCAAAAGGGTGCACAAGCAGGAAGGCAAGATAGACATAAACACATATTCACACTGGTATGACTGAAAATTAAATGTGTGCTTATGCTCAAAAAGTACTTTTTGCTGCTCCAAAATGGACTTCTGGCTGCTCCAAAGGGTGCTCTAAAATTACTCGGAGTAATCACATCATTGATAAGCTCGTGACTGATCGGGAATAGACTCTGTAAAAAGAGGATGATGCAACCGCAAGCCTTTTGTACTTCTGTAGCCACAAACACTCACTTATCTAATATAACAAGGTGGCTGCATGCCACCTTGTTACAAATACACATAAAAAACAATCAAGAAACTAATCCACTCTCACTTATAATAAATTAATAGTACCACTCAGTCTCTTGTTCTTACTCAGAGCAGAAAAATAATTTCTCAGTGTGTGAAAAAGAAACGGTTGTTGTATTTTACCCATGACCTCTTCAGCCCACTGCGAAACTCGTACTGGGGTGACGTAAACAAACTGGGGGCATCCTTCAAGATGGCGTCTGCTGCCCAGTGTACCCAGCCAGATCTAGCTTTATTTCTTTGTTATCAGAAGTTTTGAAAGGGTCTATAAAACCGAAAATAAATTTTTGACGACAAATGTAACAGGATACATGAGACTGACAGAGTATCACAATACGTTCTACGCATCCTAAATGTATTTCACGACAGATAAATACATCTTCCAAATGTATCTTGATACAGAGATACAGATACTTGAAAGCATCGCTAAAGATGCTATCGCAATACATATGTATTGCGATAGTTGGGGGACCAAGGTTTGTTATTACATGCCGATTGTAATGTAGCCTGTGCATCTTGACATGTTCGGGAGAAAAAGGATTTGAGAGAGCTGTCATAATTTGAAGAGTGTCTTACCTTCTCATAGTATGGAGTGTCTTACCTTCTCATAGTCAGGCAGAAGAAAAACTGCATACTGCGTTTGTTTGCTTAAACCGCAGTCAGTAATGATATCTTATCAGGGTTATGATATCTTATCAGGGTTCTGCTGATTGAGTTTGACGCTGGTAGATATCCTTAGACATGTGCGCAGCATGCCCTTGGATAAGGGACATTTGTTAAGGGTTTTAGTACTATCTTCTCAAGGTATGACAACGAGGGTGTGTGCCGTGCCGTTTCAGGATATTCGAAAGTTCTTCACTCCTACAAGTTCTTTCGCAAAGAAGCCAAGCAACGAGGAGCCCAAAAAGAGTGTTGTTGCAGCTCCCACCAAGGGAAAGTCGAAGCAAGCCAAGGCTGCAAAAGAACCCAAGCAGACCAAGCCAGCCAAAGACAAGGAGACAAAGAGATCTCCGGCGCGGAATTTCAAGAGCTCTAAAAATGAAGAGGAGGAAGTGGCCCCCAAGGTTGTCCGTCTGATATCTTTTCATGTTGAGCTGTGGTTTGTAGTGTTAGAAAATTCCACTAAAAGTATGGTGCTTTGAGTGGCCGACTCTTTACTTTACACTTGAATCCTGGAATCTGGGAAACAGAGAGATAATGTTTCTGAAATTAAACTAAATAAAATTAATGGGGAAAAAAAAAAGAAAACAAGTCTGGTTTTCTTATTATATATTAGTGGAGTTGCTCAATAAAATGGCACATGTTAGATGGCATTTGACTTTCTGTATGTGGAGTTTGTTATTTCAAACTAGCCTTTGAGTTTAGCTTTGTGTTTCTTGTTACCGTGTAGTGACAGACTGGTGCCAAGCAGCCCTTGACAAAGTAGGGCATGGGAAAATTAAAGGCACCCTCAAAGTCTTGTGCACACTTTCCTCAGTTGCTTGTCTTTGAGAAACCTCGAGCAGAATTAAATTTGATCTTGTCCTTCATTTTTGTTTTGTCGGCTTCTATGCCTTTGGTGTGGAGGCTGGCACGTGAGCGGTTTTAGCATGTTGCCATAATTCTTAAAGGCTTACCCTGTCCCGTGATATTTTTGTTTGTTGGTTACTGTTGATAACAGTAATGCCTTGCATCTTTGGGAACCTTATTTGACGCGAGTCTGTTTGTTTTTTGCTTGAGTAAGGTGATACGCTCAACCAATGTCTATAAATGCTATCTATTTCAGAAAACGGAGGCAAAGAAGCAGCGTAGCCGAATTATAGTGCACGATTCAGGTCGGTAACACATTTTTCTTTACATTGGTGTAAAAAACTGTGCAGAAACAAAATTTATAACAAACTTTTTTTTCTCTAGATACCGACGAAGAGGATCCCCTTCCGAAAAAGGCAAGAAAACAACAGAGAAGTTCCACTGTTTTGGTCAGCGACAGTGACGATGGTAAATTGTTTTTAAAAACAGTTTTAGTCTAAATATTAGTACACTCGGTTTCAGACTGCCCTACAGAGCTAGTGCAAGCACAACATTAGAGCTTCTTTAGATATTATTCATACGGAGTTCTGACAAGCATAGAAGTTTTGGTTCTCACGTCGGTGCCTCGAATGAGCACTTTCCACGAGGCTATGTTCTGTTCACCCCTACGCTGACAGTGTGGGGGGAGCTATGCGCTCTCTGCACCAGTGAACTGCCTCTCTCATTACAGGCCCCCACCCTCTGCATGTGGGTAAGGGCGGGGGCTGGATCACGTGCTGAAAGATAGACTCTCAATTGGTCCAATGAGCATGCAATTTCCTCTGCACTGTCAGCTTAGAGACAAACGAATTATAGTTGTAATGGTCGTTTCCTATCAATCCTAAGAGAGAAACAGGAAAAACTGGGTGATCGCTCGTTTGTGTTATCTGTGTTGATCCCTGTATGAAGCTTAATCCGTCCACAACAAATTTTTTTTCCTTGTGTAAGGTGTTTTTAGTTATTGTATTTTTTGGCATATAGTCCGCAGACTATGCATGTTTAAAAGTTTAAATTTCACCCAATGCAGACTCTCTATACGTGCGGACTAAACAAGGATTTGTTTTTGTTCTAGGTCGTTCCCTGTGACTAGACGTGAAGGATTTTATGGATAACAGAGTATATTAGTGTTGATCATTGTATGATACAAGCTTTTTTGTGAACTAATACAGCAGGCATTTGTCAAGGTGTGCCGTGTATGATCATTTTTATGTTCGGATTAGGCACTTACCGCCGAATTCACAAACCTCACTTCAATTGAGGGGCCCCTCCACTTCCTCGAGGAAGGCGCGAGGGCCCCTCAATTGAAGTGAGGTTTGTGAATTCGGTGGTAAGTGCGGGCTATGCACTGATTACGGACTATATAAGCAAACCCTTTTCCTTTTGACCCCAAATTGACCCCTGTGGACTATGCGCCAGGTGTAGACTAGCCCAGAAAATACGGTTAATTTATGTATAAAAATGCTTGCATATATTTTATTGTTAATTTTGAGAGCAGCAGTTTTTTTTTTTTTAGCTACGGAGCTTCATATTTTTTTCCAAGAAGCTCTTGTGTTTGCATCTGACCTTGGTTTAATAGTTGGAATAGATCTTTTTCTCTTTTAATATTCATTTTCCACGGCGTGTCCTGCAGACTCGGATCCGCCCAAAGATCCGAAGCCAACAGTATCCAAGTCGCCCACGCCTCCTGCCCGAGTGTCGCCGAGAAAGAAGCCAAAAACGAATGGTTCTGATCCTCCGGCAAAGAAGCTGGTGCCCGTGACTGCTGAGGACTTCTTTGGTTCCACTCCTAAACCCAAGTTGTCGCTCTCCAAGAAGCTTGCACAGGCAAAAGAGGTGCGTCTGCCATGTTCATACTTTCTAGGGCCTATCAGGGCCGTACCCAGAAAAAAATTTCGGGGGGGGGGGTTTTCGGGGACAACGGCGGCCATCTTGAAAGTGTCTATTGTCTTATTTTCGCCTATGAATCATGTGCATCGGTGGCATATAATGGAGAGTTACAGCAAACCGGAGAACCGGTCCCGGTTTGGTACCCGGTAGCCGACCGGCGCCACTGCGCGTGCGCAGAGGTGGAGATTAAAATCGGCTGGCTGCCAGTGCACCGACCAGGGCTGTACCCAGAAAAACATTTCGGGGGGGGTCAGAACCCCCTAACCCCCCCCCTGGTTACGGCCCTGGGGCCTATTTCCCTCTGGTTGTGCAGTGCGTGCACTGTGACTAGTTATGGTATACTGGGGCTAAGGTAGCCTTTGTAAATGCAGCCTTTTCGTGCAAATTCGGAAACTGCTCATACTTTGAGTTCGTTACATGCTGTAACTAAGAACAATAGACCCTGTTCAAAAGTCTGTGCCAACGTCTGTCCGCCATTGCTTGCTCACATGATACCCTGAGCATGTATTGGACACGAGGGCTGCGGCAGCTTTCAGTGGGAACTTGGCTAGCTCGTATTGGATACGAGTGTGACGTCAGCGTTCGGCGAGGACTTGTATCCAATCACGCGCTTCGTGTCCAAGCAATGGCGACCACCAGTGTTGCTTGGTGGACTTCTAAAAACAGTCTATTGCTTACAAAGAAAAAAAGAAAAGATACCAAAAGAAACAAAAAAGAGCTCATTTGGTTGTTTTAATGCTTTATTAGAACATCTGTATTGTAAAATCAATTTACAAAAAAAAAAAAGAAATCTGTATGGTTCAGTGTTTTTACTATGTACCAGTTTTCCAGATGCCTGTATTCATATTACAAGCTCTTTTTACCTTTGCTCTGTTATATAAGTATATTTTAACCATACATTATAATTTCTTCATAGTGAAGTCAGCATTTATTATTTTTCATACATTAGTATTTTTATTTTGCAGCTGCCGCAGATGCCTGTACTACAGTTTTTATTTCCAGTAAATTGATGTTATAATAAGCTGGTTGTGCAGGCCGTCGTTTGAGGTACTAATGTGATAAAAATACTGATAGTGTAAAGAACCTTTTTTTTTAAAATCTTAATTGACACAATTGTAGAAGTACTTTTTTGTACTGTCTCAACAATTTGATTAGGTTTCAGCATAATGTAAGCTTGGCTTGGCACAGACTTACGGCACCTGACGTGTCTTCCAACAGGTGTCCAAAGCAAAGGAAGCACACCACGATGAGGACTTTGAAAAGACACTCGAGAGACTGGACGAGCGAGAAGAGGTGAGTACCCTGTTAGAGATTGTCCGTTCCCTGCTCCGCCGAGGGCAGTATGATCTACTTTCGTAGCCTCATCGAAACTTGCCCAAATTCTGGCGTTCTTACAGAAAGCGTGTCCCCCGCTACGCTCAAGTCCACGCAAGACTGCTAGTGTGGCGACAAAGCAGGATGCCACGGAAACGACACCTAAAGGTTGGGCGTCAATTCTTTTCTTCGTATTGCATCAGTTTGTTTTATACTGGTGCTACAGTGCAATCCCCTTATACCCCATATAACGATATACTGCTTATAATGATCAGTTTATATAGCTTCTAGACTAGAAATGAACAGTTTCTAGTCCAGATACAACAATAATCGGTTATAATGATTGAATTTTCGGGTTTTCTAATTATGGTTATAAGAGGATTGCACTGTACAAGATTGCCTGGTTTGTTCTCTCATGATTGTGCATTTGAGAGTTCAAAGGTTCTCAGCCAGTGTTTTGGGGGTGAGTTCCAGTGGAGCGTATGCGGTTTTTTCTGGTTCCTTGCGGTTCACGTTGGGTTCTCTCATCCTCTTTTGGTTGTTGGGGTTCTTGTACTATTCAACTGATATAGTTAAAAATAATGCTACGATGGAGAGGAAAAGGAACGTCAGAAAAGAGGAAGAGAAGGTCTGAGACCTTCGTCAGAAACCACCTTATATGTCACTCTTGTAATACAGTAAAACCTTGTTATGACAAAATGGGATATACATAACAAACTAATGGATATAACAAAGCAATCATAATTCCCCTTGCTTGCTAATAGTGTGAAGAAATAGACATTGGGTGTAACAAACTAATGGTTATAACGAAATAATTACGACCGCTCCTTCAACTTTCTTATAATGAGGTTTTGCTGTATACCACTTTACTCAAGTAAAAAAATCATGAGTCGAGTTGTAGCAGGTTTTCAGTCCAGGCGTTCTTGGCCAGTTTGCATGCTAGGGGCTGGTCATGAACCATACAAGTGTGTGTGAGAACGAGCCTTTTTGAGACGTTTCTTTGGTGGACTCTACAGTATGTTTTATTTTTCAACAGTGGTATCACCAAACAAAGGAAAGAAGGCAACCACCAGACCACCAATGGAGGACAAAATCAGTACCAGAAAGACCCCAGAGAAGGAAAAACTCAAAGAGCCAGGTGAATATCAGTCTTTTTGTTTAATTGAACGTCACTTTAATAAAGTTAGTTTTTCTCCAGTAAAAGTTGTCACTACGTATATGAGTATCTTAAGCATCATATTTACTCGAGCAGTCGGTGCACTGTTTATGAGCAAAGCCTGCACATCCGCTTCCCTGCAAAGCATGTGATTAGTCAATCATTGCAATTGACAGAAGAAGCCCAGCAACTTATTGGATAGAGATAACATCATCAAGCAAAAATGCTATCTGTGCTCATCACGATTCAAATTCTCATGCAATATCTCAACCTCATTATAAACTATGTTTCTTGTGTAGAACGTAATGATTGACTCTGTGTGTGCTTTATGGGAAAGCAGACACACAGGCCTTGTTTATAAGCAGTGTGTCGATTGATTGCTCAGGTAAGTATGGTGTATAATACCTTTACCAGCATTACAAGCATGCTTCAACTTGGCTTTGCTATGTTCATTTCTTTTTAGTTTATCAGTTGTTACTACAGTTGAACCTTGATTTAACAAAGTCACCGGGACCCACTAATTATTTCGTTAAATCGGGAACTTCATAAAATCGAGAAAGTAATTCTTCGGGCACAAGCTGCGCGGGAAATCCGAATTTGTTCGTTAAATCGCGAAATTCGTAAAATCGGGTTTCGTAAAATCGAGGTTCAACTGTATCGAGATGTCCTACTGTATGACAATAAAATGTATTTTTTTATTCTGTTGCCATTTGCTTTGAGGCTGCCAAGACCAGCAGCTCATGTTTTACTTTTGTGCGAGTTGCAGCATTATCTTTTCTGGCAAACGGTAATGAAATTGGGATTGATTAAAATTACTTTCATGCTTTGTTCTGCAGAATGGAGGCAGAACCGTTTATCTACCGAGATTGCACCATAGTCTGAGCTCGTCTCCATAAAAGGATACTTCAGCGAAATCTGAAATATACCCGTCGTGTTCAAAATAGGTTGAATATGATCCACAAGATCCGTAAATAACAATCGCACGTTTGTATTTTGAGCCTGGTGGCTGTATTTTTCGTTATAATTGGACTCTGACAAGTACTCGGAGAACAGCCAGCGAAGAGCACGTGACATCCAACGCAGTCGTGACGTAGCTCGTCTCGGGACGAGCAAAGCTGCGGCGAGGCTGACGTCGAGAGGATGGCCTAGTCCAGGCTAGTCGTTCCAGCCACCGAAGCGGCTGCTTTTGTAAAAAGTTTGAGTGACGGGTTAATCTATAATCTTGTAGGGGGACAATAGCGACTTCTGCGACACACAAAGGGGATTCTCAAGAAGAGGGGAGTTCCTCCTTCCCCTCTTCTTTCGTCGTGGGCGGAGGCGAGACAATCTCCGTCACTAGCTGTCAAGGTTCCTAGACAAGCATTACAAACAAGGCGTTAGCGACATCCACCAGGTGCTCTTTGCTAATCGTTTAATTTGTTTTAAAACTCCTTTTCGTGACTTTTTTAACAAGATAGTGGTGTGTCCGATGGGATACTGCTCCTCTGAACACATATAGACCAAAAAATGAGCGCCGGAATTTCGTTGTAGTACCCCTTAAAGGAGCGATGCAACAATTTTTGTACTGTGCACAAATACCGCTTAAAACGGATCCCTAACGTTAATGACCTATGAAACACGCGTTCGTTTTTCACCCCACGCAATAGAAGTCCCAGAAAAAAATTTAAGAAAAACGAGCAGCGTTCACCCCCTCAACTCGCAGCCAGAACAAGTGGCCACGTGATCTGGAGCCGGATATATGCCGCCAATGTTGATCATAGCCACGCGCTGGGGTTGGCAAAGCGCTGGACACGCGCTTAGTTCCAGACATTGTTATGGCTCGGCTGTTGTCGTCGTTGCAGCGATTGGACACGGGTCGCAACCCGAATGCTTCTCGTGCTAGCAATTGTCACGAGCCCAAGTCGAGTGCCCACGCAATGCTCGGGTCCAATCTATGAACCGCATTCAAATATCGTCACTTGGGTGTACTGCGATCCCCGAGTTACGTCATGAAATTTTGCAAAGGAGAGATTGAATGAAAATGATCGCTTTTGTCCTTGAATTTACACCGCAACAAAGGAGTTTCTTGGCCAGTGGCGTTGCGTGTGAGTATCCTTGAGTCCCACTAGTGCCAGTAAGCTCGTGTATAGTGAAAAACATTCCAGCTGAATATCGTTGCACAGCTCCTTTAAAGGAGCTGTGCAACGATTTTAACGTTGAAAGAATTGGCATCTTCTAATTTTGACATTGTTCACCTTGTCACAACAGACAGAAAACACACCTCCTTCCATCGAAATGTTGCAATTCCGCCGCGTAATCGCGAGGCAAAAATTAGAATATTCCCCGACCTGCAGCCGCGAGCGGCGGCCATGAGAAACATGCGGCGTGACGTCAATGGGGGGTCTCGTAGAAAGATAGCAAGTTGTGCGAATACCTGCTCTATAAAAGGTAACTTTTCTACAAATCTTGTCGTTCCAACATAAATATAAATGCTTCAAAAACCTGGTATCATCGACAAAACTTTTATTATACGGAGTTTTAGTGGCGCCATCTATCCTAGGTCCACAAAACCGTCAGCTCTATCTGCTACCGCGAACAGCCACCAGAAGCCGGAGGGGGAGGGGGACAGGGCCGGACGGGTATGGCCGGACCCGGATGAGACTTTCCTCCTTTCACCATATTGTTCGTGCTGCGCCCGCCAGCACATGGTCACGCGGTTGCGAGCGGATGATTTCTCGCTGCTCACTGATGGCTCTAGAGAGAGCGCTTCACCGGAACCCCGCGCAAACCCCATTGACGTCGCAGTGCACGTGGCTCGGAAGATGGTGAAGGAGTTGAGAGGTGCCGAAAACCTCAATCTTTGTCCATTTTTAAAATAAAAACTAGGGCATGCAGGCAAAAGCGTTTTGTTCTTTACTTCAGAGAGGTCGAGGCACTAACTCCCAAATTATTTAAGCAAAGCACTGAAACTGTTGCACAGTTTCTTTAATGGTTGCTCTGTTTTTGAAGCAACATCATCGGTCATTTTAGTTGTATTAATAATTTAATAGGACTTTCCTTAACTTCGCTCACCAGTCCCTGTACACATTAGTAGTTTAGTATTGTGTCCTTTGGCATCAGATGTTCAAATGTAGTTTGCGTGATGGCATTTTATGGTCATGGACACTTTATAGGTCTATGCTCGTTTTCTCAGATCAGATCAGAAATGCTAAGTAATAGCAAGAGCTCACCCAAGGACTTTTGGCAGAGCTTATGATCGATGAAACAGAGCGCAGCCATACCCGAGTTTATTGTCACTGCTTCGTTTCGCTGCTTTACGAGATGAAATGCAGTTTGCATATGATCTGGGTGATTATCCATTCTCAATTCTTACTTAAAGTTGGACCACCGTATATATCGGGAGAGGCCAGGGTGGCATGGTGCTAGAACTGCAGACAAAACTACAAAAATTTAGAGAGCCGCAGGAAAAAAAGGGGGGGGGGGGGCTGTTTTTAACAAGAAACAATATGGAGGGAACTGTCCTTTCCAAAGGGGACAAGCCTAGTTGTTGACTCTACCAAATAACGCCAGGCAGCAGAACATTTCTTGAACCGCTAAGCAAAAATTAATGCATGGTTCGCTCGCCAGTTGCTGCCCCTGACGTCCGTTATGCATGTACGGTTCGAAATTCTTTTTTAAAACAATAAAGGAAACAGGGACGCTGGACTCATCTAGGTGCAAAAATAAGTCCAGCTGTATGTACGTAGTGTAAAACAAAACTGCCAAGGCTGTAAGATTTTTTTTTCTTTTAGTTCTAGAACCTCTTTTGTTTTGGGGACGGAGGAGGGGAAGGGGGCCACGCCTATCAGGGAGCTGTGAGCTGCAGTTTGACCACCCCTGATAGATATCCTAGCTAACCGTTGGATTTTCCGGAACGAGAGAGGTTTGGTCGGAGATGCTTGCGTATCGGACGGTTGAAAGAAATGTGGTTGTCATGTGAGAAAGCTGCACAATATTCATACTGCTGGGGACTTTTCTTGAGGAATGTTGCACAAACCCTTGTTTCTGTTAGAGCCTCCACGTGTTTCCTCGCCTGTGGTGATGTTGGAAAGGATAGCAGAGCCCACGAAGAAGGCACCAAAGAAGGAGGAAAAGCCATCAGCTGTGCAGGTTTGTGCACGGTCATCTACCTTTACCTCGCATGTATGTCTTGATTCTTAGCTTTTTTTTTATACTCAAGCTTTTTGTTTTAGGTAATAATAATAATAATAATACATTGCTTAAAGGAGTCATGAAACGCTTTTTCAACTTTTTTCTGTTTAGCTTTCCTTCTCAACTCATAAATCGCGCATTGTACCAAACAGTTCAAGAAGTCGGAAAGGGGGGAGTCCCCTCTTGCTCGGAATCTCGCTTCACTAGCCGGACACAGCCATTGTCCCCCTAGAAGATTAGCCCGTCGCTCAAAATTCCGACTAGTTGCTTTCCCCACCCCGTTCACCCCGAAGCTGACAGTGCTGTGGAAGCTACGTGCTCGTTGGGCCAGCCACACATTTTCCACGTGATCATGCCCTCTCGCGCATACCGACCCGCAGAGAATGAGGTCAGGTGATGAAAGGGAGACGGCTGATTGGTCCGGCAAGCGCGTAGCTTCCACCGCAATGTCAGCTTAGGGGTAAAGGGATTAAGTGAGGTCCGGTGTCGTGTGACGTGCGCTTGGGCCCTGGTGTCGCGCTGCGGGGTCCGCGGATGTATCACAGTGAAAAGGCGAAGAGTTTACGAAGGGAAGGGGGTACGAAATAGTCCGCTATGTTTTGCAAATTTTCGTAGCGAAAGTCAGGCTTCTGACTTTCTACCTTAGTTCTTTTGGCCCACTGAACGATGTGCTATTAGTAAAATCCCAATATAAAATGATTTACCCCAGCCTAAAATTCGTTTCATGGGTCCTTTAAAGTAAGGCCCATGTCCCGTGTTTTTGTTTAGAGAAGCTAATTTATAAGTATTTAATTTTTTAAAGCACGTGAACATTTGTTATAGAGAGGGAATTGGTGGTTTTGGAGATGGTTTACCTGACCCCCTTTTCTGTGTCCTTTCCTCGCTACAATACCCAAATACACAAAAAAAGAAAGAAGGATGAATTTGTTTGATAATCTGGAAGGGCCGACGATTAAGGTCATGTTTTTGAGGAATTTCAAATACTGTAAACGACTCAGTTTTCGGAAATTTTGCGACTTCAATAATATTGCAAAAAATAGATCCCGCAATTATATTTTCCCGTGGTAACAAATACATAGCGCACCGCTCCGATTTACGAAATTTTGTGCATTGTTCAAATTCACAGCAGTAAAAATGCACCGTAGATCGACTTGAAGACCAAGCACTGTTCGTTTGGTATTAAAAATTTTGAATTTTTGCCCATCCTTGCAAAAGAGTGATCAATCAACGCTTTGTATTGATACCATTATGCCTCAACAATTTTTTTTCAAATGTTTTACCTCTCCGATTCTAGCCAGCAGAGGCAAAGAAAGAAGTGAGTCCTGCTGTGAGGAGGGGCAATTCAGCCGGCTACAGAAGCTACTTAGACAGGGAGGGCCCCAGGCTGCTGGGAACAAGGGACATCCCAGAGGTAAGGCCCACACCCAATGCAGCATGCTAACGCTGGGCCGAACCCACACCGAGGCCGCTGCATGAAACGGTTTACCCAATTCGCGCAAGGCATACCTGCGATACCAAACTAGTGACTAGAGCATATGTGTATGCAGAAAATAGAGCTTGGATTCTGCCACCCGCTGAAGTGTTCACACATAGGTCATAATGATTCGGGTGAATAGCTGGGTTGAGTTGAACATCTTGTGAACAGCCAACTGTTAACAAAACAAAAACAGCGAGTCAGATGAGAAATCCCGTTCACTATCTTGCTAAGCAATGTAGGAAGCTAGCAGACAGTTTATGGAGAAGACATCTTGTCCACTTGCATGTTCGTTGGCCCATCGTACGAAGCTTGCATGCTTTTATGAGGTACCTCGATCGATAGTTGTAAGAAGGCTGGTGCGAACTTCTTGCTTGCCTGCATCTGTTATCTATCTTTGGTCGTACACATTTGATTGGTGTAGGGATCGCCCGGGTGCCTGAAGGGGGTGACTCTGGTGATCACGGGAGTGCTGGAGTGCATAGAGCGAGACGACACGAGGGCGCTGCTGGAGAGGTGCGGTGCCAAGGTCACCCAGAGCGTGAGCCGCAACACCACATACCTTGTGGCGGGCAGGGACTCCGGCCCGGCCAAGTTACGCAAGGTAATCCTACTTTTCTACTGGGACCCGATGTGTATCACATCGTTTCGCCCTCCCATTCATGTGAAAATTTTGTAACAAAGTTGGTATTGTGCATAACGGTGTTTTTCATAGTTTATTTTCCGTTGGAAATTTGGGGTTTATCGGAGTTACTTTTTGCTAGATTCACCGATCTCTAAAATTTAAAATTAAATTTACTGTGTTCACAATTTTTTAAAAATCTACAGGTTTTCCCGCTCATTTTAATCTAAGCGACGACCAATTTAATCCTGGGGTCACTCAATTTAATCCAAGCGCCATACAATTTAATCCAAGCGCCACACAATTTAATCCCGGGGTCGGTCAATTTAATCCACAATATATATATGCACTTATTGTGTTCAGTGGTCGTGTTTCGCTTACACGTTTGGTAACTTAGAGTAATTGTTTATACAATTTGAATTTTTGGGGGCAATTGAGAATTTGATCACTAATGTGATTACTTTGAGTTACTAGTCCCACTATTGACGAGGCTTAATTGATATGTTGGGTACTCTTTTTACAGCGCCGCTCTTAGGCACCCGTTTCCGGCTTAAGCGGCATCAGCGTCGCCGTCGCCGTCGGCGTAACCACGCGGTGAATGATGGGTAAATTCCCCCGCTAAATTTAGCGGAAAAATTTCCCCGCTAAATCTAGCGGAAAACTTTCCCTGCTAAATCTATCGAAAAATTTTCCCAGCTAGATTTAACGAAAAATTTGACCCCGCAGAGGCTAGTGGAAAATTTCCCCCGCTAAGTCTAGCAGAAAATTTTTGCCCGCTAAATCTAGTGTAAAAATTTTCCCGCTAAATTTAGCTGAAATTTTTTCCCGCTAAACCTAGCGGAAAGTTTTCCCCGCTAAATCTAGCAGAAAATTTTCCCAGCTAGATTTAGCGGAGAAAATTGTCCGCTAAATTTAGCGGGGAAAATGTTCCGCTAGATTTAGCAGGGAAAATTTTCCGCTAGATTTAGCGGGATAATTTGCCGCTAAATTTAGCGGGGGAATTTGTCCATCATGCACCGCGTGGTTACGCCGACGCCGCTTAAGCCGGAAACGGGTGCCTAAGAGCTGCGCTGTAAAAAGAGTAACCAACATATCAATTAAGCCTCGTCAATAGTGGGACTAGTAACTCAAAGTAATCACATTAGTGATCAAATTCTCAATTGCCCCCAAAAATTCAAATTGTATAAACAATTATTCTAAGTTACCAAATGTGTAAGCAAAACACGACCACTGAACACAATAAGTGGATATATATATATTGTGGATTAAATTGACTGACCCCGGGATTAAATTGTGTGGCGCTTGGATTAAATTGTATGGCACTTGGATTAAATTGTGTGGCCCCGGGATTAAATTGGTCGTCGCTTGGATTAAAATGAGCGGGAAAACCTGTAGAAGCTAAATATACAAAGTTTGGGTACCACGATCCATTGTCCTGAAGAAACCTCGATGAGCTAAATGGAGAACATTTTTTTGTCAGTACTTCGAGATTTCAAGGGAAACTGAAGTGACGTCTCCTCGGGACCACTGACCCTGTGCTCTTATAAAGATTTTTTTGCAAAACTTTGTCTTTTTTGCTTTTTACTTTGTCGTTGTGACCTCGAAATTCTGAGTTTTTCTAATAAATCCGTATTGCCAAAAAGTTACCGGCGGGTATTTTTCGGAGTTTATAGGATTTATCCATTAACATGAAACCACACTTATAATGTTCTCACAATTATTTTGAGTCCACATTGAAAGTATGATGCACACGCAATTACGAAGTACCTTCCGATCGGACGTGTTCCAGAACTGCCCAATGGATGTCGCCGGTGTGTTTCTTCTTCGTAAGCGGTCACAAGCGATCACAATTTACTCGGTCAGACTCAAATGCAAATATGTGAACAAGCTTGAGCCCTCCCACGTTAATTGTTCCTCAGGCAGAGGAGTGCAAAGTGAAGATCCTGGACGAGGATGGCTTTTTTGAGCTCATCGAGAGTCGCTCCGGTGGCGGGAGTTCCACAAAGAAAGGAGGGGGGACGGAACCGGAAGGTGCGTTGCCAGCCGAGGCCGCGCCGGAACAAGGAGCGCCGTCGAAGAAAAGGAAAGCCGAAGCTGACGACGAACCTGCCGAGATGAAGATTCCCAGGGTTTCCGTTTCTCCTCCCGAGAAAGCGGACGTCGACGTCGCAGCTCCCTCGACGTCCAAAGCGTCGCCGTCAAGGCTGCCTTCTGCGGTGAGTGGATTAGCTTACTTTGGCTGCCTGGATTGGATCACTTTGACTTCCTGTCATGTTTCGTATGTCTGTTTTGAGATCTTTTTTGTGTGAGGTTCAAGCGGAAGACATGGTAGTAACATTAAAGGGACACTAACATCCTTCAAAAAATTATTTTTTATTTTTTGCCGGGGGATTTGATGTGTCAGGAGAATACCCAATGAGGACATTTTGCTGCGGAGTCACATATATTTTTAATAAATCGAGAAAACTCGACTGCTTGAAACTGAAACCGAAACACGAGCATGGAAGCTCATGGCCGGAGTCGCGTGGCTACACCTGACCGCATTCCTTTTTTCTTAAGCTTCTCCGGCGTGTGAAGCAGACGACGAAGTTCCATGCACCGTTTGTCGTACAATTGTTTCCCACTTATAACCCTTCCGCTTGATGTTCTGCACTTGAAGATAGATTAGCCGGTATTACAAACGACAGTTTTGGAGTAATGGCCCCACGTTTGCCTCAATGTTGGTCTGTCGTGCACCGCCATCACGTTGTCCAGCCCGCAGTCCGTCGCCATATTGAGGGTGACGTATGCATGTACTTCCTGTGATCTGTAGAAAAATTTTTTTTTTTCAATCAACGTATTTGCAGTTTTTTCAAGGCCAGAGGAATTGGGTTCATATTCTTTTTTATTTTTACTATTAATGTCACAGATAACCCATGACTTTGAATATATATTTGGTACACATAGTTTAAATGCCACGTGACCACAGAAACGAGAGTGAGCACGTCTGACACCAGCCAATTCTCAACCGGCTGTTTTTGGGCAGAAAGAAAACAAATTTTGAGCCGCAAGTTGTGTTCTGGGTAGTTGGGCTCTTATAAGTCATTTCAAATAAAAAAATCGGCAAGCATAAATACCTTGTCAGTGTCGAGATACTGAACCGAAATTTGGATTTTGCAAAATAAGGCTGCGGAAACGTTGAGCAGGATGCTACAAACTCCAAAACATTACTCATACATCGATATCTGAAACCAGGGATGGGCAGTAATTCAAATACAAGTATTTGAAATACATATTTCAAATACTTTGTGTATTTTGCATTTGTATTTAATTACAAATTGGGTAATGTATTTGACGTGTGTATTTAAATACTGAAACGTGGGTATTTCAAGTACAATTGTAATTAAATACAATTTTGTGGGTGAAAATACATCTTGTTATTATGCATGTGGTTGTAAGATATATTCTCCATCCTTTATTCGGCCATAGGGCTTTTTTTCTTTTTCTCCTCCGGCTTTAATTTAAAGGCACTGTCCAGAGCAGGTAGAAAACTACGTTCTGCACCGAATGCAGTGTCTCTCAATTAAGCACAAGTGTTTAGTGACTTTGTGATTACGGTGCCAGTCCAGGGCAAGAATAGTGACGAAATCGGCGTTCACAGGCAGACTGGCTAGATAAGTGCCTGTGACAACCTGTGACGCTTTCCAGCCTGATTTCCATCCATATTTTTGCCTGGAACATTCTAAATGCGCGGGTCGTCCACATTTTCGTAACTGGTGCAAGTTGCAACCATAAAAAATTCTCTAGTGCTGCGCGTCTTGGTCGTCTCGGTTCTTTGATACCAAAATGTAATCGACAAAAAAGCTGCTTGAAGCTTTGTACTTTTTTCACCTATTACGTCCAAGCTGATTACATTTTTTTTTTTGTGATTCTATTTCTATTACATTACAGAGCCTCGCACACTAACTCCCGAGTGTGCGATGCAAAATTAAAATGAGATACCCAGAAACCCGTTGCAGGTGCCCTGAAGTCGCTGAAGCAAATTTTGAGGAATGTATTTGGAAAGTATTTGGAGGAGACCAAATACATTTGGTTGTATTTGTATCTTATATTTAAATGCTTTTTTGTAAATGTAATTAGATTTGTAATTAAATACATTCTTGACGAAGTATTTTGTATTTGTATTTCGATACATATTTGCATGTATTTTGCCCATCCCTGTCTGAAACGGATGACCATACTTTTGGAAAAGAGGGGCGCAATCAAGCGAGGTCTTTGACGTCATTGTCCCCCGGGAGAATTTGAGAATGAGGGGAAACGGCCTCGCTTCTCTCCTCTTCGCCTCGGTTCACCGGCTCGACGGGATGTAGCGAGGAGGAGAGGGAATTGGAATCATGACGTGCCTTGTCTCGTCAGCCTCATTGGCCGTGTTCAGTTGCGCACTTATTTCCAGAAAATACGGCGATCTGTTAGAGATAGTGCCGCATAAGTGATGTTTTAGGGTTTTGCAGCGTCCCGCCTATTCGTCCAGCCACGTTTCTTGAGCTCGACATTTCGGTTCATTATCTCTTTAAGCAGCCCAGTTTGCAATTATACTAATTGCAAACGAGGCATGTGTCTGCAAAAATTTAATAAAGAACTCGATCTTGCGAACAGTGGGATCGAGGGGGGGTGCAAATGTCCTGACCTCCCCCTCCTCCACCACTTGAATTCTACATCTGTAATATTTTATGGCGGGAAAAAGGGGGAAAGGTGTGTTTTCTCAAACATCTGACATGCTGATCCCCCCCTTTCACCCTCCCTCGCCCTCTTGAGACACCTACCTGCATCTGCACCCCTGACGGTGAAGCCCTTATGGCAAAGTAATTTTGTGGTTACCATGTAATAACGGTGTACAAGCATTGGAGACGATGATCTATAAGATAGTTGTTTGTTAAAGTCCGTGGTAGTATAAATATGTTATTAAAAGAGGCATCGGTCTACTCTGTAGAACGCTAATGAACAACCCAGTATATGTTGTTGAGCCCTTACAGCGAAGTGAAGTTCTGGCCTACATGTAATCGGTATAGTACAGGCATTGAAAGCATTCCTCTGGTCAAAGTAGTACTTATTAAAACTGTTGTTTGCTTTCACTGGAGTTCACTCTAGAGGGTTCCTAGTGTGGAATATCTTTTAATTAGGAGCAATTGTGGTTGTAATTATTTACTTTTCTTTTGCTAACGTGCGTGAAAGTGTACGGTTGTCTGAAGAGGGTTCAAGCCCCCTTTGATCACTTCGACGTGCTGGGAACAGGTGACGAGCCCCCTTTTTCGTTTCCACGGTTGCCAGCAGGGGCAGATGTGGGTGGACCGGTACCGCCCCCAGACGACCAAGCAGATCATTGGGCAGCAGGGGGACAAGAGCAACTGCCACAAGCTCAGGCTGTGGCTGCAGAACTGGCACAAGAGCAGGGCGGGACCTAAGAGGCCCCCACGTGAGCTCCCTTTGGCCCCTGCACACATCCCACACATTTATAACGGGTACTCCAGCGATTTTTTTATGGTCGCTGATCTGCCTCAAACTTGGCTCAACACACCATTAGACACAACTGCACCAGCTCCCAAATATTGTGGAAAAAAAAAAAAAGGGTTTCGTGAAGTTATTGACTTTTTTACTTTCGTTCTCATAGTGTTTCTCAAATTGACAGACCCTACTTTCAACACTGAAATGTGACGGTAGACATGGTACAAAGTGGGCAGTAAACCACGTTTCCAACTGATTACGAGACGTTTGATGAGGGGAAAAGAATGCTTGGAACCGCATTGACTGAGAAGCAAGAAAACACGCTCGAAATACTCTGTTTAAGACTACCTGTGTGACCCGAAAGTGTGTACCATTTGTGATGTCACACCACCGGAGAGAGCGCGCGGAAATTTGAATGTTGGTTTCATCATCGTCTTCATTTACGGTTTTCTCAATTGGGGAGGAGGACAGACCGTTACGCCCCAAGCGGTTAACTTATCAACTACACGGATGGGGACAACAAACACAATGACGCAGCGCTCGGCCGACATAACCGAACGCGGCGTCAGCGTTCGACTGGAGTTCGTGTTCTCCGGCGAGGGGGAGGAGGGGCTCTTTTGTTTTCACAACGGCCTGCATGAACAATGCAGCATGCACGATCCCAGCTTAGCACAAAAGCCGAAGTGGGTCAAGCTCGCATTCTCAGAAGATAGATCCGGCACTTAACGTCGCTTCGTCGATTGTTAGTATTTTTTACATTAAACTGTGCCCCGCGCTCTATTGTAGAAGATGACATGGCCATGCCCATAAGGCCTGTTGGCATGTGTACAGGCCTTGTGTTGAGTAAACACCGAGCGTGGGGAAAACAAACGGGTCAGAGCGCCCCCTATAGTTCGATCTCCTGCCCAATAGCTATTTCAAATTTGAAGACAACAAACAGCATACCATGAAGACTAAAGTTTGGGTATTCAGAAAATGCAATTTGTTTGAGTCGCTCAAAAAACAGCCAATACACCTTTCAAGGCCGATTCACACACAAATATAGGAAATGTATGAAAATTACCAGTGTTCCACTTCTGCCATATACCGTAAAACACCGAGCAAGCGCCCACTCGAAATTTGAAGATAATTGCGAAAAAATAGGGGATGGGCGCATGTGAGGTCATCACTTTTACATATATATATGTACTGTGCATATTTTTTCAGATGTTTCAAATTTTGGGGGTGGGCGCTTAGTGCGGAATTGGTAGATGGTGCCAATATATTCTCTCTTCATAAGAGATGACAACAGGTTGTTACACACTCAGTCTCAAGCACTGACAAGTGTGGGAACCATCCTTTTGGGAGACTTTATGCCGGAAGGTGGCATTTTGAGGTGGAGACGTTGAAGGGAGCGTAGAACATTTAACAGTTCCCGCTAGGTGCACATTCCAAATCTTTAGCATCTGCTTAGCGACCCCTAAACATTTGCTTCCCCCCTTAGAGTTGCTCTTTTCGCGTGAAAAATATGTAAATCTTAGATGCACTCTGTTTTCAGGAAGAATAATCTCAGCTCGCAGATTACGTCACTTCAAGCAGCATCAGGAGGCCGATGTGAATTTTTGGTGTAAAAAGAAGAAAATATTGTGACACAGTGGTTACAGTGACAAAGTCACAGTGTCATTTCCGAGCTGGTAGTTCGGTCACAAGCTGAAACCGTTATGCCCTTTTTGTTGTCTTCTAAGTATATTTAGCATAAGTTTTTAGGGTCAGTGCTTTAACTTATTTTTTTTTTCTCTAGGCTTTATAAAGTTGCCGTATTATGCTGGCTGTGTTAAATATGTAGGAGTATGTAATTGACTCCTACATGCCATAATCATTTGACTAAGGGAAATGAAGGCGGAAGGGGAGGTGCGGGTCGAAAAATGGCAATATTTTGCATAAAATGTGATTTTGGGTTTTATGGCGTTTGTTTTAATTTTTTGAATCTTTCTATTTGATGTATAAAAATAATTATGGCCGGTTATGATAGTCAAATTAATCAAATACGCATTTGAAGACCTCCAGACAACCCTGAACAGCGTGAATTTGAGCCATTTTTCTCTGCGTGGTTCTTCAAGTTGTGACGTCGCCTGCCATCATCATTACATTGACAAGTAGGCCTAGCCGTCTCCTCTCTATTGCAGTCTCCTGTAGGTTCAATTTCTCGCGTAAATTTAGTATCAAAGTACTATTTTGTGCAGCCCAAAAAAGTATGGCTACACATCTGTGGTAACATTTTGACAAATTTTTCTTTTTATGTAATTTCGGGACATCTTCACAGATTGTGCACAAGAATTTATGTTCTTAATATTGTCCTACCGCAGCCAAATTTGGCATACATATACTTTAAAAATTGTAGAATGCAACTATCTAGGTTTGGTCAGAAAGTATATTTTTTATATTTATGAAAAATTTAAGAAACATTAGTTAGCCCCTTGAAATAGTATTTTTGCGACCTTTAATTATTCTTAAATAGCATTGCACACATTACTTTTGTTGTTTATTGCACTCAGTGGTTTAACAGGAGCAAATTAGTTTTACTAGGCTTTTTTAAGTGTGTTGCCATGCCTCATGTGTGCCCAAGAACATGATTTTTTCTGCATGTACATTGCATCGAGAACCTAAAGAACAAGCAATATCAAATCTAACACTGGATTTATAAAGAGAAGATTAAGCACCATAAACTTATAAAGAGAAGATTAAGCACCCTTTTGATATAGTAAATAACAAAAAAAAAAAGATTGTTTCCCCTGGTGCATGTCCCCTTAAACGGTGAGCCTGTTTCTCCTTTTGATGCAGCCAAGTGGGGAGGTGGAGGGGGAGACGGCTCTGCATTCAAGGCTGCCCTGCTCTCTGGTGCTCCCGGAGTTGGCAAGACCACCACTGCCAACCTGGTTGCTCGGGTACGTTCACAGCCCAGCCCTGCATTGTACGCTGACGTTGATTTACAAAAGCCCAACATTTAGATGACCTTGTACAGTGAAACCCGTTTAGAATGAACCCACGTACAGCTAATTATTGTCGATATCGAACTCACGGAAAATTTAAATAACAATGCATGTAAAAATTACTTTTTATAACGAACAACATATTGGCTATATCAAACTTTTTCCCCCCGAGAAGGCCTCCAAAGACGCAACAACGATCATCTTCTAGCCTGTCCTTTCCCCTCAAAAAAGTAGGAAAGAAAGAAAATTCCAAAAGCTCAAGTTGCGAACAAAATTGAGCGAAGACAAGCGATTCAAAGGGGAGAAAGCTAAAAAATACACTCCGCACGCACGCGCATAAAAAAGGAACTTTTCATCCCAAAACGGTTGCCTACGATTGCCTACGAAGAGAAGCGATTCGGAAAAAAAGATAAGCTAAAAAAAAAAAGTCTGCACACATGAAAAAAAAAAAAAAACAAGAAAAAAAAATCTTTCCTGCGCATTGTTACAAGGCGGAAGTGAAGAGATGAGAAAGAAAGAGAAGCTCTCGCCTTACAATGAACGCATCGTGGAAGTGCGTTGTAAATGGTTTTTGCTATATAGAATTACTTGCTATATCGAACTGATCGTAGCATTTCCTGCTGTTCGTTATAAATGGGTTTGACTGTAACCTCAGTTTGTGACATAGTAAGGCTGTGGAATCCGGTTATATACTCACCACATCTGTTCTTGGACAAGATGCCACCACTAACACACATGAAGTTTAACTAGGGCAAATGTCCTAGTTACTCCTCATTTAATTTATTTGATCCTTAAAGGGGTACTCCGCCGATTTCTTGAGCTACTTCAACTAACTATATTTTCTGACTCCCCGGCCTTTATCCTTTCCGGTTTGCTATTTAGTATCGTGAAATTCATAATAGTTATTGTGACATTGGCAAAAAACCAACATTCAAATACAGTGGACTCCTCTTAAACGGAACTCGAAGGGACAGAAAAATTTGTTCCGTTTATCAGAAGTTTCATTAAAGCAAAGCACATAAAATGAGTGAAATATGACTTTATTTCACAAGCATGATGTCCAGCTAATGTAGCTGACTAGAAAAAAGAGGTAATGGTAGTTTGTTTTGCATTTTGTAATCGCTTTTTGACGAAGTAGGTGTGCATGCCTTGGAGGTACAAAGGTTTCTGTTGACTGCTGCACCTTCCCCAGAAATAGTCTTAAAGACTAGGCCGTGGCGCTTTTTAAAACGGCTGAGCCAACCGTCGCTCATTTTGAAGTTATCTATTCCCAACTGAGACGCAATCTCTCCAGCCTTTTCTTCGAGGATGGGGCCGCTGATCGGGAAATTAGCACTTCGCGCGTGCTTAAACCAGAGAAAAAGGACGTTCTCTATTTCCTCAAAAGGCGTCTTTCGCATCCTCCTTCGGTCGGTGGCAAAGCTTCCGCGCTTTACAGCGTCTTGAATCTTTTCTTTGTCCTTTGATATCCTTGAGAGTGTAGACTTCGGGATATCGAACTTCCTTGCGATCTCCGTCTTCGAGAGGTCACCACGATCCAGCTCTTGAAGGATCTTCATTTTCGTAGCAAGCGAGATCGCTTGGTGCGGCCGCTTTTTTACCGCTTCCATCACAACACGGCAAGCGGACGCTGGTTTGTGTACTCGATGGTAAACGTGACGCGCAACAGACGAGGCGCTAACCCTAATGGCGGTAGAAAGACTGGATTGGATTGCCTTAATATAATGGCTTGGATGGATGGATGAATGGCTGTACCGTACCCCCCGTACCCTTTGTAACGAGCGGCACCTCGCGTCACCTAGCCTAACAACTTTTTTTTTTTTATAATAATATTTGTATAAATTTTGTTCTAACACAACCCCTTTTCCTTTAAAGTGTCCTCAGTCTTGGCTATTGCGTACTCCATGGTTGTGAGACTGCTGTAGCTATTTCCGATGTCCGCGGTCGCCATGGGTAGTTTCGGTTTCGGTCCCGTTTAACCGAAGTAAGCAAAAAGGGGGGTTCCGATTACCCGAAGAATTTATCATTAAATACATAGGAAACCAACCGAAACAACCTTTAGAGTTCCGTTTATCCGAATTTTCCGTTTAAGCGAGTTTCGTTTAATGGGAGTCCACTGTATACCCACACTTTTCAGTGCCATGGCGTCAGTGGCGGGCAGGCTTGCCAGTTGAGCAAGCAATCTAAAAAATAGAATATGCCAATCATTTGTTCCAGGCTAGAGCGTGGGTACTGGAGCGAGCTTCCAAAGCATTCATTTGACAGCATGAAACTGCTTGGAATCAGTTCGGAACAAGTTCTACAGTCCAAAGAGTGTTAAATGCGTAAATGTACGAAGTTAACGGATTAAATGTTACCTAACCGAATCAAGACCATACGAGATGTAACTGAATATGGCTTATTTGTAGAAGAGTCATTTCTGAGCTTTTATATGGCTTGGTGTTATTTATTACAAAATTAAAAATTATTAAATTAAAAATTATTTGAAGGATATGTCCATATTCAATTCTCATTCGATTGAATCCCTTTTCGCGCACCTCTAACGTCTCGCTATGAAACATAGCGAAGACTGGATGTTCGTTACTATTCATCGACACAGGCGCTGTTGAGCAGTAAAGCAGACTTTGTCTTTCGTGCCTCTTTCACTGAAGCAAATGTTTGGTTGGGAAGTACTCTAGAACAAGCGTGCGCATGTTTGGGCCGAAGAAGGGGTTTCAAAATTCTTTTGATCCCCGAAATGCAGGAGGCCGGCTTCAGCGTGCTGGAGCTGAATGCTTCGGACACGAGGTCCAAGAAGAGTCTGAAGCAGGAGGTGGCTGAGCTGCTGGGCAACCAGACGCTCACAGGTGCGACTATGGCCCGTGCCCGTTTACCTCTCGTCTTTAATAGCCCCGTCGGCCGACGGCGGCGGGACGCCGATGTTGCGGGCCTACTCGTGGCTGCCGCCTTTGCCCTGGTACAGTGGTATACTCGAATCCCACAACTTGTGCACGGTGCCACTATCGAAATCCAAAGGCCGGCTCACCGCGACTCGCGACACATCTCTTGACAAGGGAGCACACTGGAACACTGGCACCTGGTAGCCCCGGAAACCATTTCAATGCGCGCGTAACTAGACGGAGGGTTTCGCAGTATCTGCGAGGTCATATCTATGCGTTCTCTACAAGGAACGGTCTCTTCCAATGTTGCCAGAAGTATTTCAAGCTCACGGTGAAAGAACGAACGTGTGAACGAAAATATGTGTTTATCGGTAGTGCTTCAGGGCCACCCAATAGATGGCGCTGGTGTGTACTTTCTCGCCGTGAGCACCTACGAGGAAATGCAACGCGCTTGAGCAACATTCAAACGAAAAATAAGCGTCGAACAGATAAAGATGAAGTGCCACTTGTCTGCAGTTTCTGTGCCTCTTTTGTACTCATAAACAGTGGAGGACACGAGAACGGGCGTAGAAAGAAACGTTAGGTAGCCGATGCAGTTTAGTATTTATTTGCGTTAATGTTATCTTTGATGCTACGCTCAATTAATATAAGGCTCTTAATGAGAAGCGAAGTAAACCTTACTGCCAATTGCTTCCGAGCGTCTTATCTGCACCAAACGGGCGTTCGTCGGTTAGCCGGCCTTTGGATTTCGATCGTGGCACCGTGCACAAGTTGGGGAAACTGTTGGGCAAAGTAGAAAGGACGAGTCAGGTTGCGGCAGCGGTTTCTTGGGGTGTTGTAAGGTTGCGCCATTGACTAACGAGTTGGCTTGTCTGGTTTGTGAAGGTGAAGGCCTCTCCTCCAAGCACATGCTCATCATGGATGAAGTGGATGGCATGGCTGGCAACCAGGACAGGGGAGGTGTCCAGGTAAGCTTCTTTACGCTTTCAAAATATATTTATGGCATGACACTTTCTGCATTGTGGAACTTAACTGAAAACCCAAACAACTTTACGTTGGCAAATATTCCGCGGAACCAAAAACTCGGATAGAAGCGCGGTTTTTCGCTCGGCGCGTCCAGTCAGCGTCCAGTGAATCTGTAGCAACATCTGTGGATGAGTCAACGAAACATGGCTGTCGTTCGGTGTCTTCCCGACAGGCCACTCTGTCGTTGAAAAAATCGGTTTTTATTTTCTTAAGTTCTTTGTACTTGAAGTTCCAACTTGAAATTTTAGTACAACAATGTGACCAGTTAAAGACATTTTTGAGAAAAGTGGCTACAAGATTCGTCAAGATTTAAATTTTTGCGAGCCATTTTAGCATGTACATTTTTTTTTTGGAGGCACCCTGTAGTGTAGCCCACGGGGTGCACTTGATTGACATTGGTTTCCTGGATGGGTCCGTCTTCTCCAGGAGCTGATAGCGCTGATCAAGAGCACCCGCATCCCCATTGTGTGCATCTGCAATGACCGATCCCACCCCAAGATGCGCTCCCTGGTGAACTACTGCTTCGACCTGCGATTCTACAGGCCGCAAATCAAGCAGATACAGGTGGGGCGTAGCTCAGCTGTGGCTAGTCCGCTTGTGGCTGACTGTCGTGCCAATGCAGTTCAAAGTACCTACTGTGATCTCGAGACAGAAGTGAGAATGAAAGAGTTTATAGACAAATGTAGCCGTGCTTCGAATGTAAGCAACTCCTCTTCCCTATTTCTTCTGAAAAAAAAGCAAAAAAAACAAAACAAAACAGGATGAATAGAATTATATCTTCAGGGTGTTTCTTTTTAAGCTTAGCAGATTTGTTTAAGAAAAGCCGTGAAAGCTACACTGATGCGGTTTGTGCAGGTGATTTATACGGAGAGGGGGACGTAATATAAGGGGCTAATTGTCACCATAAGTCGAATAATTAGCTAGAATTTGCTCATTAACTTTTTAATTATAGTGAAAATAGATATATGGTTCCAATCGGAAACTTGCTGAGCATTATAAAAAAAAAAAAAAATCACTAAATCAGTAAATTTTAGAAAGACTTGGAGCTTGTGGGAAGCCCAGTAGTGCACTAAAGTCACCATTCATGCCATAGGCGCAAGGCTGAGGCTATGATAAGAGCTTAAAAAACTGCTTGGGTGCGTTATCGCACTAGTAGTCTTGCTCCTGCTGCACAAATGGTAACTTTAGCGCACCACTGTGTTTCCCACGTGCTCCAAGTCATTCTAATATGGACTGATTCGGTGGTTTTCGATGACGCTCGGCAAGTTTCTAATTAGAACCATGTGTTTCTTTTCAATATTTTGGAGCCCTAGATTATGTCTCCCTGGCCGTATAACTCACCTGCACAAAGCTCATTAGTGTAGTTTTCATGGCTCTTTTTAAACAAATACGTTAAGCTTAAAAAGAAACACCATGTATATGACATGCCATTTTACCTGTAACAAGCCTTGCAATTGAAATCAGTTTGTTTGTGCCCAAAGGGAGAAAAAAAACATCAAGTTACATAAAGGAGGTTCATTACCATAGTAATGAAGTGCTCTTATAACAAACCCAATTTATACAATGGAATCTCGTTAATTTGAACTCGAGGGGTACCAAAACTTTTTTGAATAATGCAAAGTTTGATTTACCGGGAGTTTCCTTCCAAGAAACGCATAGGACGGGACGTGCACGTTAGTTTGAATTATCCGCGAGTTTGAATGAACGAGATTCCACTGTTCAACTGAGAGAATTATTTTATGTTTTAGTGCATTTCACCCATCCCCTACATCAGGGGTCTCAAATTCATTCGAGCTTGGGGGCCAGATACCCCACCCCCAAATGGGACGAGGGCCGCCGGAGGCGGGGGGGAGGGGGGGGGGGGGGAGCAGCAATGTTTTGCTATTTTATGACAAAAAAAAAAATAAACAAACAGCATATACGAGCAACTAACTGTCACAGCAACACCCTAGATAATTTCTAGGAAGGAACCTTATGCTTTCTGCTTTTTATGAGCTCATTGTTTTGCCCTCTTTAGCTTTTATTTGCATTTACGACTAATACGACTACTTTGGGCCCACACCTGATGTTATAAAAAGATTTAGAACACCACCATACCACAGTACTGGTGCTTTTCAAGAGTCCTTGCCCTGTCACACAATTCACGAGGCTCAACAGGCATAGAAAAAATACCTCTTCTTGCAGCGATTTGTGTTTTTCTGACACATAAAAAAGTACTTTCATTTTGAAGGTATTTTCTGACAGCTAGAAGCTCGAGCTCATAACTTTATCTTTGGCGGTTGCTGCTCCTGTGCAAGAGTTTGCGCAGCCAAGGTGCCTCCTTGAGCAAAGGGCTCGCTCTTGTATACCCTAGAAGTGGTATTGCCATTCCGGTTGATTTACATGAGAAAGGGCTGAGGAGCAAATATTTAGACTAAGCGATACTTGGTCCAAAAAAATGAACAAAAAAACAGAATAGGGCAAAATGCATTAACAAAGCAGACTTCCTTTTTGAGTGGTAACAAATAAACAATATAGAACTATTATTTATGGTGCATGTCGCACGTGAGGCTTGAGAACGGGGGCTCGTAGCCGCGGGATGCTCATGGGCTGCATCTCAGAGTCCCGGGCCGTGTGTTCGATACCCCTGCTCCACACAAAAGTCATGATCTTGTATCAATGCAAAAATCGAGGGAGTTTCCTTAATTTCTACATGAGTGTTGCACTGGAAGGGGAGTGCATGGCATCTTGTTGATGTCTAGTTTTTGTAAGGATTGCTGCCTGTTCAGTGATGAAAGGATATTTCGATTACACCTTCTTACAGGCTAACCAGTTCTGAAGCGTCGGCATTTGGTTCCGCTTACTGTGGTGGGCTGTCTTCTTGATGGAATGACAATGACCTTCCAATAATATAGGAGGGCTTCGAATATGTGAGACGTCACATGAGCCAGTATATATATTGCGTGCAGAGCTACGTATATTTCAATAAAAATTAAAGCAATTCTTTCAGCTATGATCAACAGGAGCAACTGAAAATTATGTTACTTGCTCTCACACCATAGCAGCAGTGTCTAGCCATTTTATTTTTTGCCTGGAGTTTTTTTATTATTGGCTTGGAGTTTGGCACATTGTATTGCGACCAAACGTGTACAGTGAGCATTTTAAGTATGTTTTCAAATTACGCTTTCAAAACAGGCAGCCATGATGTCCATCGCGTGCAAGGAAGGGCTGTCTGTTACTCCTGCTGTAGTGCAAGAGATCATCATGGCTTCCAATCAGGATGTTCGGCAGGTATGTGGCTTGGTTTGAACTTCGTGGGGCTTGTGTCCGTCGACCACTGTTGGTCCATTGACCTCATGATGTTCAATGCTTGTCGTGAACTGATTTGAAATTGGAGTACAACATATTAATGCGACAGGTTTTGTGCTCAATCTTATTTTGGCGATGGTGACCCAATCTTGCTTGAGACTTTCATAGTATTGTTGCTTGCTCAGGAAATTTTGTGGTTGTTTAACCAGTATAGTTCCTGCGACATCTGGAAAGATGAGTGGATAGAGGTGTGTGATACGATGCATCCAGTGGTGTGAGGTAGCCACCACTCTGATTTGTTGACAACAATGGATGTGCTCCAAACCTCATAATTTCCAGGTCTCTGCTGTAGATATAGTATTGGAGGGACCCTGTGGAGTTGGGGACAGTTGACTTCCCTCTACTTGTACACGCTCTGACGGATTAGTGCTAGGTACTACGACACCCAAGAAGTGCATATATTGTCCTTCCATCTGCCCATTCTGCAGGTGCTGCACAACCTTTCACTCTGGACTGCTCGCACAAAGGGGATCAGCAGTGAGCAAGTCAAGGCTGATACCGGGAAGGGCACAAAGGACATCAGGCTGGTAGGCCTCTGAATACTCTAGGACTTTTATTGTCTCGGGAGTGTTTGCCTCTCACCCTGCATTTCACCCTCAATATAGGGATATGAATGTGGTTTAGGGATATAACCTCAAAATTCAGGGAATTTTGTTCTCGTGCAGGGTCCCTTTGATGTGGTACGCAAGATCTTGTCCTCGGCAGAGGGCGGCCAATCGCTCTCCTTGGGGGAAAAGTCGGCGCTCTTCTTCCACGACTACTCCATGGTGCCCATGTTTGTGCAAGACAACTACATTCACGTCCAGCCATTGGCAGCCCAGTAAGCATAGTTCTTTCGATCCATCCGCTGTAATTATCACATTGTCTCGAAAGGAAATAAAGCGGGTCCTTAGTGTCTACAGGTAAATGACCCTTTCCCCTGGGAAATGTTATGGCGTACGTATCGGTTAATTTTAGCAATGAGTGGTTCTAGTACCATAATATCTTGAGTCATCGCCCATCCCCGAGTCGTCGCCCACTCCCCTTTTTGGGCCAATATTGATTTCCAAAAAAACGCAGTCATTGCCCACCCCTACAAATACCCCAACGTGGACTCCGCGATCCGAGAACATTCATCCCACCCGAATGACACGGCTGCGGACCTTACAGTTGGAGGATGTCCGAGATAAAGTAAAACGAAGGATGGAAAGACACTTCACTTTGTTTACGGATTTCCTCCGCGAGCGACCCTGAAGTCATATTGCATCCGTGCAGAAAGAAAACGATGGAGATAACAAAATAAAAGTTTGTTTTGTTACAAATAATTTGTCCCAACGAAAAAAAAAAAAGAAAAAAAAAGAGGTTGGAAAGATAGCACAAGCAGTAACCCATTCAGGGGTTGCAAGGTAAGCAAATGCCCCATATCCTAGAATGTAACCGCGGAGTGTAAAGTCAAAGCTTGTCTCCGCCGAAGAAAGGTCGCCGTGAACCCGCTCCTTCTCCCGGCAAGTTGCGACCACGGTTGTGCAATCTTTAAGACAAAGCCAACGGGTAAATAAAGCTTTGCTGGAAAGCCTTTCACAGTCGTTTGTAGAGTGCCCCATTTTGAGCTCTGTGTTCGTGGTGCTGTCCACGCCACGCAGCAACCCCGCCTTAACCAGCGTTGATTGCATGCCGTGCACAGATGCACGCATGTATTCATCAAACAAGAAAGTTGCGCAAGACCTTCCGATTGACAAGGCGCCCGACGCCAAAGTGTTTTCCCACGCGATTGCCAACTGTCTCGCTTCCCCAGCATCGTTCTTGGTTGCTTCTTTCGTCCGCCCACTCGCTCGCTGCACCTTGTTGGTCTCTCTATTTTCTTTTGGACGTTTTTTTTTCTCACGAGGAGAACATAGCAGTGTTAAAAATGTGCTTTCACGGAACAGACGTTTGCACTGTATGCCAGTCGGTTGTGTTCATAGCGCGTATGCAAGCAACGGACTTTGTGATAGTAAAACATACTTTCATAGGCATTTTTTGTATAAAACAATAAAACTAATTAGAGTTTTGAGTTTAATGTATCTCTTGTGCAGCTGCACTAAATATGCGCAGAATAATGAATCCTTTCTTTTTTCCGCTTTTTTAAAAAAAATTTTGTGCTTACCCTTTGAGACATGGCCCGCCCCACTTTTTCCTGAATTTCAAGCGGCAGGGGAGTGGGCGATGACTCCGGATATTACGGTGTCTGGAGCAATTTCCCGTATGCCGGGGACCAAAGAACCGAAGGATGACATATTCTTTGGTATCTCATAGAGCCAGAAGAATTCTATTTTGTAAAGAAAAGCAAGAGCAAGAATGCTTCCGTTATTGAAAACGGTTGAATTGAGCCATTTGTGCGCTGTGTTAAACGGACAATGAAGGCAATTTCGGACATCTTTTTGGCGATTGAACTGGGTTCCAGGCACGTCTCATGTCACGCTGCCCAAATTCCAGCCGAAACCGACGCTTCTATGCCGCGCAAATCAATTAAACAGTCGCGGTTATAATCGTACCGGGATCGACTGGAGCGACGCCCCGAGAGTTGCGGGAGAAGCCAGGAGAAGCGGAGCTCACGTGATCGATTCGGGGCCAAGAAGCGCGACGTCACAAGAGACGCGTCAGGGATTGGTCGAAACGAGAAACGTGCCCTCGGTCACGTTTTGGTCCGCGATTTTTTAGGAATACTGTTCTACTTTCCGCTTGAATAACCATGAAAAGTATAAATCGGACCGAAAATGATTACTAAACCGCAAATAAAGCAGCATAATTGTTTTTTTGCTTTGCTACGCTGGACGCGAAGCGGGCAACGAACAACTATGGGCAAACAAAATAAAATAAAAAAGAACACGGTACTGGAAGGATTCTGCAAAATGGTAGCTGTAGATGGCTGTTCCAACGGTAGACTGAAGACCAGTATTCATTTGGGCGACGCTAGTTTTGTGTTCTTTGACGACGAAAAGAGGACGTCTGCGGAGAAACCGGATCCCGGAACGGCCGGATCGCTGCCGCTTTCCCCTCCGCGTCTCCCCCGCGTCCGTCCTTCGGCATGCGGGCCGCTGGTTGCCGGCTGGGCGGTCTCCGTCGGGTGATGGCAGAGGCCGCCACACACATACTCCCGTTCCGTTGGTGCTCGGTCACTGAACGGAAGCTTGAACTCGTTCGCGAAAGCGCCATTGCCGTCGATGGTGACAGATTCGGCGAAACGACCGCCCCACCGCGCTGCTATGACCCACCGCGGTAACCAGAGTCGCGATCTCTTAAATGCTACCGATACCGACTATTCACACTTGACGTCACTCCGTACGTCACCTCCGTTTTCGGAGGCCCAGAAACGAGAATGGAGATTGTTCAGTTTCGGTTTCTTTACTTCTTTCGTAGGCACAAAAATACGCATCACAAATGTCTACAAAAAATTGGGCAGCATGCTATGTTCCCAAGAAGCATAAAAACACCATTTAAAAAAATTAAATAAAATCGTCTTCATTGTCCCTTTAAGTGACAATTGAGACAGTGTTCACGACCATGTCACGGTTGGTTAGATACTGCGTTTATCCCAAAGTCATACATCCCAAGATTCGTGCAAGGGCGTGAGTCATCGCTATTTAAAAAATACTTCGATGGAAGCCATCTGGTAGAGGATTGTTGCCAGCTGCTGTTCAGCTTCTTTTGATGTGGTGCAAAGTACAGTCATCCCTTGTTTGAATGTTTCAGTCGCAAACTACCTTTCTTCAATTCTTTGTCGAAAACTATTCCTCGAAACTAAGTTGGTGCCACGGTTCAGCCGCCGCTATTTTGAGTAAATGCCGTAGAATACCGCGCATCCGCCCATTCCACACTATGCGCCCATTCCCAAATTTGTAAGACCTGAGAAAATATGCACAGTAGATTGATATTTTTTCGCTGTTATCTCTAAATCTTGAGTGGGTGCTTACCCGGTATTTTACGGTAAACTCATTCACGTATACTATTTTAATGCTCCTATAACTTGTCAGTTTGCGTTTTTTTATCCGTAGCCCCGATAATGGGAAGTCATCTCACTCGAGTGACAAACTTCTTCCATTACAATGATAAAGTTAGGCTGAGCATGCTCTCACAACTATGCACAAACTCATTGATGATAATCCGATGTGATCACACAAAAACTGTGAGCGCTGCACATGTCGAAAGGCTATCTTTGTTTCACCACACGTGCAAGCTAAGCCAAAGCTGCAAGCAGGATACTGCCACCCTGAACTACTCCTGCCCTGCACGAGTGCACATGCTCGCCAGGCCTATTCAAAGCATGGAGCTTGCTCTAGTAGCTTCTGCTACTCTCAAACTTAGTGACACAGGCGCATGCCAAATGCCAACAATTTGTGTCTAAAACTTTGAAAGGCCACCGCCATGAAGTGATGTTGAAGATACAAGTTCTTTGGCGTTGTGCGAAAATTCGAATTTTCGTGTAGCAGTTTAGAATAATACGCTATTTGAAATTCGCTTTGAGATGAACTGCGATATTCATATTTTTCGCTCTGCTGACCGTGGTGGGTTAACCCCGGTGAGTGCGCTTTTTACCGAGCACCGGTGCACTGCAAAGAAGCAACACCCGCAGAGCTCGCTTCTGTGGGTGTGGCTTCTCCGCTGTGCACCGGTGCTCGGTAAGAAGTGGACTCAACAGGGCTAACCCGCCGCAACCAACATTTCAATAAGTACAATATTGCAGTCACATATACTTAGGAGGAAAGCACACTTTCAAAACGGAATGGTGCACACGCACCCCCGGTGTATTTGAAGGAAACGGAAACTTTCTTAATGTTGATATCAACGATACAGTAACGTTTTCAGCATTAAACTGTGGCTATCATGCGCGAGTATATGTTAGGCAAAAATGTCCTGACAACCTGCTTTCATCATTCATGATTGTCTTTTTTTTCTCTTCTCAAATTCGGGATTTAAGAAAGGATATTTGCGCATAGCGAAAAAGGTTTATTAATCCCCCCAATTTGGTATAGCTGGCAATTTCTATCGTTGTATTTTATCTCAAAAGCATCGTTTACTTGCCATCCCAATGCAGGCATTGGACTTTCTGAAACATAGTTGGATTAAAATGAACTTGGCTTAGAAATGGACAAGTGGAAGCTTGGGAACGACCTTTACGAGTACAGCTGGGTTTTTCTGCATAATGCAGTAGTGAAAGTCCGGAAGAAACTATTCTACATTCAATTTGAAAATATTCGGCAAAAATCGTTATTCGCTTTGAATTTATCTTAAAATTCCAAAATCCACTATGCGCACATGCCGAGAGTTTGTGTACAATTAGAAACAAGTTAAAGGAGCTGTGCAACGATTTAATGTTAAAAAATTGTCATCTTCTACTTTTGACATTGCTCACCTTGTCCCAAAGGACAGAAAACACACCTCCTTCCTTCGAAATGTTGCAATTCCGCCGCGTAATCGCGAGGCAAAATTTAGAATATTCCCTGACCTGAAGCCGCGAGCAGCGGCCGTGAGAAACACGCGACGTGACGTCAATGGGGGGGGTCTTGTAGAAAGATACCAAGTTGTGTGAATACCTGGTCGATAAAAAGTAACTTTTCTATAAATCTTGTCGTTCCAGCATAAATATAAATGCGTCAAAACCCTGGTATCATCGACAAAACTTTTATTATACGGACGGGAGTCAAAGAAAGAATAAAAACACTTAAGGACAAGGACAGACAGCACAGTTCTTTCAACTAGCAACACACATTTACTGGTCTGTGTTGCTAGTTGAAAGAACTGTGCTGTCTGTCCTTGTCCTTAAGTGTTTTTATTCTTTCTTTGACTCCCGTATTTCACCAACACGCTCTTTCATCTTTGTTTGTTTATTATACGGAGTTTTAGTGGCGCCATCTATCTTAGGTCCACAAAACCGTCAGCTCTATCTGCTACCGCGAACAGCGGAACAGCCGCCAGAAGCCGGAGGGTGGAGGGGGAGAGGGCCGGACGGGTATGGCCGGACCCGAATGAGACTTTCCTCCCTTCACCACATCGTTTGCGCTGTGCTTGCCAGCACGTGTTCATGCGGTTGCAGGCGGATGAGTTCTCGCTGCTCACTGATGGCTCTAGAGAAAGAGCTTCACCGGAACCCCGCGCCACCCCCATTGACATCACAGCGCACGTGACTCGGAAGATGGTGAAGGAGTTGAGGGGTGCCGAAAACCTCAATCTTTGTCCATTTTTAAAATAAAAACTAGGACATGCAGGCAAAAGCGGTTTTTTGTTCTTTACTTCAGAAAGGTCGAAACACCAACTCCCAAGTTATTTAAGAAAAGCCCTCACACTGGTGCACAGCTCCTTTAAGAATGTGCCAGGAGCTCCACCTTCAGCATGCACTCGTTGCCTTTTGCCGCACCTTGGCTGGGCGTGACCTCGACGCGTTACCAAATGTAGAGAGATTGTATTGGAGGCAGAGCTTAACTTGTATCTGACTCTAGATGTGGTGTCCTCGTAATTCCCAGGGGCGACAAAAAGCGTCACCTTCGCCTCCTGGTGGAGGCATCGGAGAGCATCTGCCAGGGGGACCTGATAGAGCGGCAGATCAGGTCGTGCGGCTCCTGGTCCCTGCTGCCCATGCAGGCCTTCTTCTCCAGTGTCATTCCCGGGGAGCTGATGAGGGGTCAGCTGCGCGAGATGGTCAGCTTCCCAGCCTGGTTTGGCAAGAACTCCTCCCTGGGCAAGAGGCAGCGCCTGCTCCAGGAACTGTACATGCACATGCACACCAGGTGGGGGCAAGAGGCGTGATTTTTACTAAAGGCCCGTTCCCAGCATTCATCAAGCGTGGTGTGGGGATTTAGGCACCATATGCTTTTCTAGTATGTTCAATCAGTATTATAAGCTAGTGCTGCGAACGTTGGGACTTTCGTTACATTGCTATAATCCGTTGCAACTGAAGAGGGTAGGGCGAGGGAAAGGAAGGCTTGGGAGGAGGAAGCAGACGGAATGCTAGAGAGAGGAGGAGGTTTTCCTCTATCCTCTCCAGCGTTCTGTCCGCATCCTCCTCCCCGGCCTTTCTTTCTCTTGCCCTGCCTTCTTGAGTTGCAGTGCAGTAGCATTTTGGAGTTGATTCATTTATACAGAATATGTTTAGGGCTAAGGATCCGCAAAAAAAACATCTAAAAAAAAAAGCCTAATGCAAAAATGTAACACGTAATTTTCCTCCTGAATTTAGCGGGAATTTAGTGGGAAAATCCGATTTAGTGTGTAATTATATACCAATTCAGTTTGGCCGCTAAATTTAGAGCTTATACAGTTTTATTTTGTAATTTTTTTTAAGCTTTACAGGTTTGTTGAAAAAAAGCTGTAAAAGCTACACTTACGCGGTTTGGGCGGGTAAGTTATACGGCCGAGGGGGACATAGTATAGGGGAATAATCATAACAACCGGTAGACTAATTAAGCATAATTTGTTAATTCACTTTTTAATGAGTGAAAATAGACATGATTTCAATTTGAAACTTGTGGAGCGTCATCAAAAACGACTAACTTAACTCATTTTAGAAAGATATAAAACAGGGGCAGCATTTTACAGTGAAATGAAAAAAAAATGCTTTGTATGCATTTCTTGGCTTTGGCATCTCGGTGGTTGCAGATCGAAGCCATCGCCTTGCCTCCGTCGTAGGATGGAGGGAAGAATGACGCACGTGTATTGCGCGTCTCGGCCACTGGGGAGCAGGACCGCGGGTGGAGACATCTGCTCTTACAAAAAACCGAAACATAGAAATTCATCCGAGTTGAGCGTTTTTACGAAACGCCGTAAAATGCTGCCCCTGCCTTACATCTTTCTAAAAGGTGTTGATTTAGTGGTTTTCGATGACGCTCAGCAAGTTTCTAATTGGAATGATATGTTTATTTTCACTAATTGAAACATAAATTAATTAAATTTACTTAATTAGCCGACTGATCGTTACGATTAGCCCGCTGTACTATGTCCCTCTGTATAACTCACCTGCACAAACCACATAAGTTTAACTTTCACGGATTCTTAAAAAAAAAAAAAAAACAACCTCGTATGAGTGTAGACGGTTGCTGAGTGCTAAAAAGAATCTCGAATAGAAACAATATATTAAAACATAACGAGAATAAAAATATTCTGTATCACATTCTGTGAGGTGGAACTTGTTGACGGTTGGTGACTTTAGGGTGCTCACTTAGACCTGTCAAAGCTACCTTCCTCGAACAATCGTGTCAAAAGCAAGTTCTTGTTTTCTCCATTGCATCAGTCTTTTCTAATGCACTTGAAATGGCTTTGTGCCCCATACCCTGGCGGCGTTTTGTCTCGACGATACGTACCCAAGAACCGGCAGTCAGTCCCCGGGACTTCTCCGGTCGTTGCAGGGTTTCGGCGAACCGAACGCAGCTGCACATGGACTACCTGAGCCCCCTGCTGCATTCCCTGACCCAGCCCCTGATAGCCAAGGGCGCCGATGGCGTGCCGAGCACCCTCGGCCTCATGGGTCACTACTTCCTCCAGAGGGCCGACCTGGACACCGTGGCCGAACTCTCCCTCTGGCCGGGCATGAAGGACCCCTGGTCTCGGGTGGACTCCAAGGTGACGCGTCGAAGCACGCCTGATCGCAGCTTTCAAACGCATGGCCCCGTCGAGTGTTGCCAAGTTTCCGTTTTGCTTGTTAGGTTTGACTTGGGCTGTGCTTCTGATATCTTCCCACATCCGTCAAAACAGGGGATTCCAGTTTTTATTAGGGGTGTGTGAATACCGAATAGTAGTTATCAAATCGAATACCGAATCGAATTAAGAAAAAAAAAGCCGAATATTGAATCGAACATCAAATAGTGATTTTATTTGTAGTAATTTTTCAAAGTGTGCAGTGAATGAGATTATTATATGTGCAGAGTATGCGCCTGGTGCAGAATATGCATCTCATAAGGAACAAGAACTCAAATGTAAAAAAGTTCTGGAGAGAAAAAAAAAAAAAAGAAAAACAGCTGCTGATGGACAATGGGCACTTAAGATCCAATTTTATGGCGCAAACATAATCTATCTATCCCAAGCATCACAAAAAACCAAAAGTTACAGCCATGCGTGCCTTTTTTTTACTAACACCGCGACATGTCCTTTTTTTATATTTATATATTTCAATAAAGGGGCATTTTGCCTAGAGTGCCTTCATGTGCGCTTCGCATAGAGTGATGCCAACTGCCTGTTTCCCTTTCCCACACCCTCTTCCACCGCCATTTTGTTCCTCTTATTGTTTCCCCGTGCGCCGGAAAGTGGCCCTTGTGTCCATCGGTAGCCCCACCCGAGGGGGAAAATGCTAATCCTCCCTCCGTGGGTTCCACAACGCTGCTCCGAACTTCTGCGATAAGGTGCTTGTTTCCGGAAGGGTTATAAGCCCCACGGATTATCGCCGAGGAACAAAATGGCTGCTGGTTTGTCGGCGAGTGGTATTACAAAGGGTGGCATCACCCTAGCAAAGCGCACATGAAGGCTCCCTAATTTTGCCCCTTTTCTGGTTAAATCAGAGTAAACAGGCTTAAACAATATAATCTGAAGTAAGAAAAAAAAAAACTTGTGGTTAGGCAACGCAAGTCACCGTCCAACTGCCGCTATGCATCTATTTCTCCGTCGATCTGTCCTGTTCTAGAGCGCCTAGATTTTAAAAAGGGAGCAAGCGAAACTGAAACCACGGAGACTGCTCCTGCGCAGATTGGTCGTAAGTGCGCATGTGTTGTGTAGTCAGTGTAGTCGTGTGGAAAGAAGACGAGAGCAAACGGAAGAGCGAGGACGCCTGCCCGATCGACGCTTTTGTCTTTTCGTCACCTGCTCGCAGCTCGTAATTCAAACACGGTTATCGAACAGTTGGAAACCCTCTCAAATCTAGGCACACTATTTTTCCGTTTCGTTTCGTTCCGAATCACAATTTTCAGCTTGTGCTCCAAAAAGAACAACGACGCGACAACTCTGCTGGTTTCATCGGCGTGGTTAACGTGGTTTTTTTTTCTGTGATCTTACAGTAGCCGATTTCTGTGAGTGTGGCAAGTGTGCTGTACATCGGAGCTTCAATTTGAAATGAGGGGCTTTTCTTGTGAAAAGAATTAGGCATGGCGCGGAATTCCGGCCTCCCAACAATTCCTCTCTGGAAGCGGCACAAATGGGATGTTTTGGTTGCGATTCAAGGTTAGATTGCGTCACGACCATGAGTAAATCTGCGTGCTATAAAGTTTGTGGCGTTCGTTGCCTTTCTTTTTTCTAACCTGTGCGTTAGATTTTTGTTGAATGATAGGACCAAGAGGTGTTTCTCGCATGGTCTGTCGAACATCACGGCGCTAACATCGGGAGAAAAAACTGCTCTTTTGTCAGCTCCGCGCCGACCGTGCGTCTTTGGCCGAATATATTGAATATTCGAGTGACCGAATACTATACTCTTTTTCACCTCAACTTGTGCACCGGCGAATTCTCCTCAAAGAGAATTGTATCAGTGCGCCAACCAACCAGAGTGCCGGGTGTCCTCACCCGCACTCCCACTGGGAGGAGTCAGAGTGCATGTTGACAGTTGATTCAGCCAGCGGGTTGCAAGCAGGTTTGTGGCGTGCGTATTCGTAGCGGTCGCTCAGGTCGCTCGCGAAAGAGCGGGAGTCTGTGCTATCAAACCGCACTGGCCGGCATCTCAACAGTTGCAAGGAAATGTGATGCATAGAAAACATGATTTGCAGCTATCGTCGCGCTTCGTCGCCATCGCTTTCAATCGGGCATGCGGACCGCGTTTGCAACTTCGCTGCCGCGCAACATTCGCGCTTTTTATGTTGCCTGGTATGTGACATGCCCTTACGTTACGGTCGCGGTTTTGTTGAAAAAGTTTATATTGTTTGCTTCTTGAACTGGTAGCTTGCGATTTCAGTCTCTCCAGCGTCAAATACCACGCCCGCGAACGGCTCTCTGCTGCACCGCGATAGGCATGCGAGATGTCCGACAGCATTTGGAAATGACTGGTAAAGTGCCAGATTGCTGTAACAGGCGGATTACTCAGCAGATTCTCAAAATAGTGTAAAACGTGTTTTCTGCAGCTGAAGTCGACTGCATCAAAGCCGGGAATGTGGAGTGGTGAGAATTGTGGTCTAATATGAGCACTTATACAATACTGTTGGTCTAATATGAGCAGTTATAGTAATATAATCAGTCAACAAGAAAACTGCAAGTATATCTACAAGGTTTATTGTTGGTAACAAGGAGCATACCACATTCATAGTAGCTCTGGTTCATGTTCTGTGTTCATTGCAGGCCACTGTCCACAGCTCCTCTAGCCCCTGCTTTTTTGCTGCGATGACATGTAGCATTCGAAGTCGAAAAATTGTATGATAAAATGGTGGATATAGACAGCATTGGTTGTTCTCTTTCCCCCCTCCCCCATGGTAAAACCCCCTAAAACGAACAATTTCGGTATTGTACTGTACTGCCCAAAACAGTTTCCTGTTACAATGCTTGCATTGTTTGTTCCCAGTTCTCTTACCTTCGAGAAAACAGATGCAGCTGTACTACATCTGGGCACTATAACTGACCGCCCCACATCCACTTATTTTAGTACGGAACTATGTCACTTCATTGCAGGTCTAATCCTTTGAATCACTATAAAATATTTCTGGGACAGCACCAGCATGCATTTGTGTATAGCGAATGTACTTGTGGCAGCTTTTGTTTGCAGTGCCACAGCCCTGCATCTTTGCGACTCATAACCTTCTTGAAGTTCGTATTTTGTACATCCCTAGGATGAACACAGGACAAACACTAAAAGGCCCTTTCGTGTTTGTCCTGTGTCCTAGGTTTACAATGTGATGTAAGCTCATGAGCCAAAAACTGGTAACACAAGCAAATTCTGTAGACCTGCACTGTTCAATTAGACCTCGGGCACTTCCTGTGTACTCTGCATTCAACGAACTGCATTTCTGGCGTCTTTGGGGCCAGGGGTGTTCTAAAATTGAATTCTGCTGTGCAAGTCTATTCTGTAACCTTTGCTGTACCCTTATTATGCTGTTATATTGTGTACGACAAGTGTGTATGATGTTTGTGATAGGGAGGGGGAGGGGGGGGCGGCGCCTCGTGAGGCAATTCTGTTTGCCTTTTGTGTCAGCTCTTGGGCAACGACTGTTTGTATGTTGTTGCCTAAATAAAGATTCAATCTAAGAGGAACTAGCAGATGCGTGCACACAAGCCGGTGTAAGCTGAAGACATGCTAAATCCCGCAATATTAGCCTGGGAGACGAGAAGGGAATGGAACGACGTCTTGAACATGGCTCGGTGTTTAATATTTCTGTGCAACATAACGGAGCCGACTCGTCGTGTTGCTGCAACAGTTCTCGAAGTGGCAGGGCTTCAATCAAGATGACGAGAGTTAGTCCACACAGGCAGGCCGCCTTGTTTTCAGAGAACGCTTCACGTAGGCTTCCGAAGCCGCCTCGTCGTGTTGCTGCAGCCGTTCTCGGAGAGGCAGGGTTGCATACCAGATGTCGGGAGTCAGCCCACACAGACAAGGCCGCCTTGCTTTCAGAGAAGGCTTCACGTAGGCTTCCGAAGCCGCCTCGTCGTGTTGCTGCAGCCGTTCTCGGAGAGGCAGGGTTGCATACCAGATGTCGGGAGTCAGCCCACACAGACAGGCCGCCTTGCTTTCAGAGAAGGCTTCACGTAGGCTTCCGAAGCCGTCTCGTCGTGTTGCTGCAGCCGTTCTGGGAGAGGCAGGGTTGCATACAGATGTCGAGAGTCAGCCCACACAGGCAGGCCGCCTTGTTTTTGGAGAACTCTTCAAGTGGGCCTCCGAAGCTGCCTCGTCGTGTTGCTGCAGCCGTTCTCGGAGAGGCAGGGTTGCACACCAGATGTCGAGAGTCAGCCCACACAGACAGGCCGCCTTGCTTTCAGAGAAGGCTTCACATAGGCTTCCGAAGCCGTCTCGTCGTGTTGCTGCAGCCGTTCTCGGAGAGGCAGGGTTGCATACCAGATGTCGAGAGTCAGCCCACACAGGCAGGCCGCCTTGCTTTCAGAGAAGGCTTCACGTAGGCTTCCGAAGCCGCCTCGTCGTGTTGCTGCAGCCGCTCTCGGAGAGGCAGGGTTGCATACCAGATGTCGAGAGTCAGCCCACACAGGCAGGCCGCCTTGCTTTCAGAGAACTCTTCAGGTGGGCCTCCGAAGCCGCCTCGTCGTGTTGCTGCAGCAGTTCTCGGAGAGGCAGGGTTGCATACCAGATGTCGAGAGTCAGCCAACACAGGCAGGCCGCCTTGTTTTCGGAGAACTCTTCAAGTGGGCCTCCGAAGCCGCCTCGTCGTGTTGCTGCAGCCGTTCTCGGAGAGGCAGGGTTGCATACCAGATGTCGAGAGTCAGCCAACACAGGCAGGCCGCCTTGTTTTCGGAGAACTCTTCAAGTGGGCCTCCGAAGCCGCCTCGTCGTGTTGCTGCAGCCGTTCTCGGAGAGGCAGGGTTGCATACCAGATGTCGAGAGTCAGCCAACACAGGCAGGCCGCCTTGTTTTCGGAGAACTCTTCAAGTGGGCCTCCGAAGCCACCTCGTCGTGTTGCTGCAGCAGTTCTCGGAGAGGCAGGGTTGCA